GAAAAGAGATGAGGTGAACTGAGGGAGGGTCCAGGGGAGGAGTTAGTTGGGGAGGGTGCTGGGAAGGAGGGTTTGGTATCAGTACCAAGGAGACTTTTATATCTGTTGGAGCTGTCCAGAGATGGACCCAGTGGCCTCAGGAGGGAGGGAGGGTCCTGCTTCTAGCAGTAAATGTATATTTTGCATTTAATAGGCCCTGGTATAACAGCTTCATAGGGAATTTCTCATACAGTCCTTCCAACAAACTGGTGATATAGCACTAAGTTCCAATTTGCAGATGAAACATAGGCAGAGGGAGACCAGTTCCCAAAGTCACTCAGTTAATAAGTGATAGAGTACAGCTTCCAATCTGGGTAGTATGACTTTGGAGCCCCCATGACTCCTCACTGTGGTATTCTGTCTCCTGGTCCTGAAGAATTAGAGCATGGGCTGGAGAATGACGTTTAATGATTCACTCAAATATTCAACACAAAAATTAAGTACCTGCTATATGCCCCAGACTCTGTACCTGAGCTTGGGTAGAATGAATAAGACACAGACACTAGCCTCAAGGAGTTTATTGCCCAAATTGGCATCTTCTTTTAACTTCTCTTCCTATAGCTGCTCTGGTCTCCTTGGGCCTATCCCAACCCAAACACTGGGTGGCATTTCCATCTTAAACTATGTTGTCCTGTTAGAAGCTTGAAAGAGGAGAGAATATACCAATCTATGCAACAGAAACTTGACATGGACCTTGACCTTTTGAGGAATACCAGGGGCTTCATATAAATTTACTAGGTAACAATAAGCACCTCCATGGATTTCAGTTTTCCCATTGGCAAATATCTGCTCCTTACAAATCCCAAAATTCTAATTAGTTTTGAAACATACTTACCTCATTTTTAGTATCTAAGAATTTTCAAAATGGTGATGGTGAGTGATTCAGCAATTGTATTAATGAGTGAGTGAATGTGTGTGTGTGTGTGCGTGTCTCCAAAAGAAATAAAATCACTATATCAGAGAGATAACTGCACTACTATGTTTATTGCAGCACTATTCATAATAGCCAAAATAGGGAATCAACCCAGGATTCCACTGATGGATGAATGGATAAAGACAATGTGATATATATACATACATACACACACACACACACACACACACACACACACAACAGGATGTTATTCATCCATAAAAAAGAATGGAATCCTGTAGTTTGTGACAACATGGATGAGCCTGGAAGACATTATGTTGTGTGAAATAAACCAGGCACAGAAGAACAAATACCCATGTTCTGATTCATATGTGGAACAGTTGACCTCATACGAGAGTAGAATATTAATTATTAGAGGCCAGAAAAGGTAGGAAGAAGGCAGGGATAGAAAAGGGTTGATTAACAGGTACAAAAATACAGTTAGATAGGGGGGAGTACAGTACAGAAGGGAGACTATAGTGAACAAGGATTTATTGTATATTTCAAAATAGCCAGAAGAGAGGATTTTGAATATTTCCAATACAAAGATATGACAAATGTTCAGGATGACATTTTTTGCTAATTATCCCTGATTTCATCATTGCACATTGTATACATGTGTAGGAATATCACACTGGACCCATGAATATGTATTATTACAACATGCCATCTAAACGTTTTAAAAAGGGATCTGGGGGGCATAGCTCGGTATCTCAGTGATATAGCTATTTGCTCTTTGCCTGAGGCCCTGGGTTTGATTGTCAGCAATGCACACACAAAAAAAGTTTAAAAAATTTTAAATGGTGATGGTAGCTAAATTCCTGCCATAAAGAGGCTGAAAAACTCCCTTTTGCCCAGTTCCTGTTGAGGAGTTGCTTGGAGAGAGGAGAGAGCTCTGTGTTCAGTTTTGCTTCTGATTTCACTGATTTTTCTCTATTCATTTTCAGTTTTATTACGTTATGCTCTTACCTTTAGTATTTCCTTTGTTTATTTTGGGTTTGTTTGTTTTCTTGTTTATTCGTTTGTTCATTCATCCATCCATCCATCCATCCATCCATCCAGTCCTGGAGATCAAACCCAGGCCTCTCCACATGCAAAGTACATGTTCTCCCACTGAGCTATACAGCTATCCCTTATTTTGGATTTAATTCTCTTTTCTTTTTCAGTTTCTTGAGTGAAAGTTTAAACTTCTTCTTTTCTAATATAAATATTTAAAGGTATAGATTTCTCTTTAAGCACTACTTAGCAGCATCCCTCAATTTTTTTTCTCCCCATTATTGGGGATGGAACCCAGGGGGACTCTGCCACTGAGCTATACCACAGTCCTATTTTTATTTTGAGACAGGGTCTTGCTAAGTTGTAGAGGCTGGGCTTGAACTTACAATCCTGTTGCCTTGGCTTCCTGAGTTGCTGTAATTATAGGCCTGCCCCACCACCCCTGACTCTCAATTTTTTTTTTTTGGTACAGGGAATTGAGCCCAGGGGCACTTAACCACAGAGCCACATTCCTGGCCCTTTTTTTTGTATTTTTTGAGACAGGGTCTTGATAAGTTGCCAAGTCTGGTTTGATTGGTGATTTTTTTTTTTTTAAATGTAGTGCTTGAGAATCGAACCCAGTGCCTCAAACGTGCAAGGCATGCACTCTACCACTGAGCTACAGCCCCAACCCTCCAAGGCTGGTTTGAACTCACAATCCTCCTGCCTCAGCCTCCCAAGCTACAATTTAGATGTATATTCTTTTTTTTTTTTTTATAAGTGTTTGGAGAATGTCTAGATAGCCTTTTGTTATTGTTCTATCTTCAAGTTCACTGATCCTTTCTTCTGCTGTTCAATCTGCTATAAGGCATCCAGTGAATTCTGCATTGCACATATTGAACAATTCCACTGGTTCTTTTTCATTCTTCCCATTCTCCTATTGAGATATGTTAACTCACAATGACCATGCCCCGTCCCCCTTCAGTCCTTCAGCTGCTTAAGGTCCTTTCTGCTGGTGCCGACTTCTAGGTTATCCATGGGTTTGGTTCTATAGACTATTTTTTCCTTTGGCTATGAGTCACACATTCCTATGGGGGCTCCCCGCCCCCCGTCATTTGCCTTTTAGTTTTTTATTGTATCTTAGACATTGTGGATAGTACACTTTGGAGACTAGATTTTGTTATCTTCCTGTGAGGAATGTTGAGTTTCCATTTAATAGACAGTTAAATTACTAGTTGATGACCTTGAACTAGAGGCTTCAAGTTTTATCCTTTGCTATTATGAGTCAGCTTTGGTTTTGCCTTAGACTCAGGGCAAATCTTTAGTTCTGGAACTAAATATAGATTTTAGCCTTATGACTTTGGGGAGTTTTATTTATTTTTTAATTATTTTTTTTATACTGGGGGTTTACCACTGTGCTATACCTCTGGCCCTTTTTATTTTATTTTTTTTATTTTGAGACAGGATCTCACTAGGATTTCCAAGCTGGCCTTGAACATTTAATCCTCCTACCATAGGCTCTCAGTGGCTGGGACTGCATGTGTTGCCATTATGCACAGCTTTTATTGGAGTTTCAAATGGAAAGCCTGAAGTGTTTACCCAGTTCTTGGCGGGATTCTTTTGTTTGTTTTGGCAGTACTAGGGATCGAACCTGGGACCTAGTGCATTCTGGACAAGTGTCTAACACCTCAAGTTGGAGGGATTCTAACTCAGACTTACTCTGTTGCAGTGGGTAGTAGTCAAAACCTCTGGTCAGCTCTTTCAGGTCTCCAGCTGTTGCCATTTGCTGATCTCCTTGAAGTTTCCTCCATCCATAATTTGGCAATCGGCCTTTGATTTCAGGAGGATTTAATTAAAAGCAAAGGCTTCCCCTTTTGTGGCTTGACCATTCCAGGAAATCTATCTTCAGTTTTCAACTTCTCTAGAGTCCCCAAATCTGTCCTCTGACTCTTCAAGCCCTAAAAGGCTGGACTTTCTGCTAGAGTTCTAGCTGTCCTATACCATAGGAACTGGGAAGTACCCCCAAGAAAAACCTCATTTAAGTGTAGATGGTTCCTTTAAGGGTTGAGTCCCCTCGTTTCTGTGTGCTTTGTGATAGTTTAAGTGCTTTAATATAGTTGTTTTTCATGTTTTGCTGAGAGTTTATAATCTGCTACCTATGGGGGGTTCATCTAATAAACTACTGTCATTACTAGATGATCCTTTCACTTTGAAGTGTCCCTTTTAACTTATCTGTTCATATTCTACTGGGGTGGGAAGTGTCCCTTTTAACTTATCTGTCCATATTCTACTGGGGTGAGGAAGAAAACACATTCATAAAATATAAAGTGTGACGTTGAGTCCAAATGCAGTTGGAACTTTTACAGGGGTCACTGGGGCAAGCTTCCCAGAAGAGGTCTTTGAGATACACTGGGGGCTGAGCAGGATTTTAAGGAACAAATAGAGGATGAGTGTGGCAACTTGGGCTCTGCTGAGGGCAGGAGTTGACATAAATGTGTTGTGAGGACAATGAGAAGACCAACCTCAACCTGTCTAGACAGTGGGAAAGACACTGGGTAGGTTCGATATGAAGAAATGGAAGAAGCTGGCTCAAGGACGTCCTAGTCAAGCTGCCTCTGTTCTTCCATGGTTGTTTACAGTGTGCTCTCCACTCCCCACCCCTTCCTCTAGCTTGGGTCTGGTTCCCATTCTCTCTTGAAAGGGTGATTTAGATGGGCACCTTCCATAAAAGGGCAGATGAGGTTCAGAAATCTTTAGGGATATAGCTGTGCCAAAGCCAAAAGACACAGATGGAAGTATCTTCATTGAATATGGGTTAGCACATTCTAGGACTTAGCGAACCAGCATTGACTCATGCCAGCACCCAATATAGCATATTAGGTTCTGTGACCCCAATCTTTTGTCCTCTGAAGAACACACAATTGGCTTTAGGACCACAAAAGGTTTAGGCTGGGGCTTAGAGATCTCTTAATCCCAGACTTTGTCCTTGGGAGGCTTAGGATCATTCACAGAGCCCAAAAGTGTCTTTAGAAGAGGGGTTTGATGGGGCTGGGGGGCGGGGCGGGGCATGGTGGAAGGATAATCTATAAGAGGGATCAGAGGGGGTGGGGTTCATCCCATGAACACAATGTCAGAGGAAGAAGAGTTTTTTCTGTTCAAGAACATCTCATCGGTGGGGCCCTGGGATGGGCCTCAGTACCACATTGCCCCTGTTTGGGCCTTCCACCTCCAGGCAGCTTTCTTGGGCTTTGTCTTCTTTGCAGGGACACCACTGAATGCCATAGTGCTGGTGGCCACGCTGCGCTACAAAAAGTTGCGACAGCCACTCAACTACATTCTGGTCAATGTGTCCCTTGGGGGCTTCATCTACTGCATGTTCTCTGTCTTCGTTGTCTTCGTCAACAGCTGTCATGGATACTTTGTCTTTGGCCGCCACGTTTGTGCTCTGGAGGCTTTCCTGGGTTCCGCAGCAGGTACTACAGGGGAAGTGGGGTCTGGGGAGGCAAAGGACACTACGCCAGGAACTAGACTATGGGTTTGGAGCAGGCCCCCAAGTTGACTATAGACATATGACCAAAATAAAATGTTTGAGTCTTAAACTCCACTCCAAACATATCAGGCCAATTCTCTCTCTTTGGGCTTGCTCTACCCATCTGTCTTCCACTGTACTTGCCAGGCTAGATGGGGCTCTGTCTATCCTATTCTCCTCACATTTTGTCACAGGTCTGGTGACAGCCTGGTCACTGGCCTTCCTGGCCTTTGAACGCTACATTGTCATCTGTAAGCCCTTCGGCAACTTCCGCTTCAGTTCCAAGCACGCACTGGTGGTGGTTCTGGCTACCTGGATCATTGGTGTTGGCGTTTCCATCCCACCCTTCTTTGGCTGGAGCCGGTGAGAGCACAGGGCAGTGGTGCTGACTTAGTTAGGGGTTCAGGTTAAAATGGGTAGAAAGAGAGATTGGGTATAACCACTTAGTCTTTGACCTGTATTTTTTTTTGGGTGTAGTAGGTGAGGCAAGAGCGGTGGGAGATCAGCATGAACACTTTGCAGTTGGAATTACTGTGGCCTCTACCAGAAAATTCCTCTGCCACCAAGTACAGTGTTGAGTGCCTATAATCCCAGATTCAGGAAGCTGAGGTGGGAGGATCTAGAGTTGAGATCAGCTTGTATAATTTAGTCAGACCCTATCTAAAAAGTTAAAAAAAAAAAAAAACTTAAAAGGAAGAAAATCCCTCTGCCCCAAACCTGGCACTCTCTGGGTTCTAAGTGGAGAACACAATCCAGGATTCTCAGCCCTACTCCACTGATTCTTGTGGAGAACCCAGAGTAAATGAGTTCTTGGTCCTTTGCAGGTTCATTCCTGAGGGCCTTCAGTGCTCCTGTGGTCCAGACTGGTACACTGTGGGCACCAAATACCGCAGTGAATACTACACCTGGTTCCTCTTCATCTTCTGCTTCATCTTACCTCTTGGCCTCATCTGCTTCTCCTATGCTCAGTTGCTGAGGACCCTCAGAACTGTGAGTGGTTTTTGAGAATCAGGGAGGAGCAGACCAGGGGTCTCCAGGAGAGATGGAAGAGTAGGGACATGCTGTAGAACATAAGGTATCTGGAAATGTTCATGGCCAGATAAACGGGTATCTAAAAAGCAGTAAAGGAAGCGGTGGCGGGGGGAGGGGGGATATGAAATGGAACGAATAAGGGAGTATTGCTGCTTAAATTGGTGTAAAGAGATGTAGCCATGTGATCCCTTCCATCACTGTAGACCAGAAAGCTACCTCCACCCTGCTATCCTCAAGGGAGGAAAGCAACAGAACCTGGCCAGAAGCAAGGCAATCAGAGTGAATGTTCCCAGTAGAAAAGGGTCCAGAGATCTGGGATTGGAAGACTGGGGGAAAGAGTGATGCGATGCTCTCTATGCTCTGCCCCAGGTGGCAGCTCAGCAGCAGGAGTCAGCTACAACTCAGAAGGCTGAGAGGGAGGTGAGCCGCATGGTGGTAGTGATGGTGGGATCCTTCTGTGTCTGCTACGTGCCCTATGCTGCCCTGGCCATGTACATGGTCAACAACCGCAACCATGGGCTGGACTTACGGCTTGTCACCATTCCTGCCTTCTTCTCTAAGAGCTCTTGTGTCTACAACCCCATTATCTACAGCTTCATGAATAAGCAGGTAAAGTTGTCTATCACATTCCCATAACGTCCTGGTCCATAAAGTCACTGTTTTTTTTTTTCCAACACCTTTTAACTCAGAACACCCTAGACCTACTCAGAGGGTTTCTAGGAGTGAACAAGGGAAGCCATGGGAACCTCAAGGAGGCTAGAACGCCCCTGGTAAGCACAGGGAGGAAGGCATGGTATTTAAGATAATAGAATCCAGGAAGGATAGAACTTGAGCCAAAAAAAAAAAAAAAAAAAAAAATCAATCTACTCTCAAGAAAGGGCTCTGAAAAGGTTTTGAAACCTTTCCCTTTCAAACTCTAGTGTGTAGAAACAAGTGATTCTAGACTGGAATTTAGCTAGGTATCAGGATAAGGAAGACAATCAAAACCACCTGAGATATTGGGTATAAGGCACTGTGAGAGGCTGTTGGGATACAAAAAATAAAACTTTCCCCCTATACTTCCTGATGTTATCTTCCTTTTATTCATCTGCCATGGGAACTATCTCCAATTCTGCCTTTCCCTCCAGTTCCGAGCTTGTATCATGGAGATGGTGTGTAGGAAGCCCATGACAGATGAATCTGAGGTGTCCAGCTCCCAGAAAACAGAAGTTTCCACTGTCTCTTCTAGCAAAGTTGGTCCCAACTAGGAACCCCATGTTGACCTGTTTGCAGCCAACTAGAACGTCATTTAAGTAAGTTTTCATGTTCTCCATCAAAAACCTAACCACTAACAACACAGTAAGGAGATGGGAAGGGGAATGAGGGCAGTTTTGTGAAATCAATTTTTTATTTTTCTACTATTCCCTTCCTGTCTATAAAGCTGTTTCAGCAAGGTCTACTTCAGACCACCCAAAAGCCATTTCAACAATCACCAGTTTCTACTCCTAAGAGGCACCCTTTACAGCATTTGGAGAACCATAAAAGAGCATAGCTGGTTTTTCAGAGTGTAGATAACACTTGTGTTCCTTTTTAGTGACCTTTCTCCCCCTACTGAGGATCAGTTCTGAAGTGATGTATTCTGAATTAAAATGCTTTAGAAATATATATATATATAAAATCAAAAAACAAAAACAAAAAACCCCTTGGTAGACCCCAAATGAATGTGAGAGAACTTCCTTATGCTATCTCTGTAAGTAACTGCTACAGCTTTGGTAGGGATAACTATGTCTAGAAGCCCCTGAGCCAGGTTTATTCTTAGGTGCTTCCCCCTGCCTGCATTTGGCTAAATCAATATATGTCTTAAGCTGTGCGTTTATTAAAATAGTTTAATTACCTTGATAGTCTCAAAATTAATTTGCATATCTTATTATCCCTTATAAACTATATCAAAGTGTTTCACTTTATAGCCTCCTTCTACTCCCTGAAGAAGAGCCTTTTTGAATAAAACCCAAGATAAATGCGTATATCTATCATACAAAGAATGGTGTCTGTTGGTATCAGGTATGCAATGAGCAGCTGGGTTCCTCTCCAGTGACATGGCCTACAAATAGCTCAGAAGGGTTATAGCTATGAGAGAGGATACTAGGCAATTTCAGAAATAGGAGAAAAGGAGTAATCAGTTTGAGAGAAGGTAGTACTTTCTCTGAGATTGAGTGGTGTGCTGAATCTTCTAGGAGGTCCTTTTCTGTAACACAGCATCCATAATTCTAAGCTAGAGCTCCATTCCCACAAGAATGAAAGACGCACATCCACAATGAATGTAAACGGTTTTATTTAGAAACAGATAGGTACCTGTTTGCATTATAGAATATAAAACTTGGTTTACACTCTATAAAAAATAACCAATATCCAAATTTAAGAGAACTAGCACTCACAGAATACATACTGTGGGTGTGTAGCTACTCATCACCAGCCTCAGGTTTGATTTAAACAAACAGCCCCCCCACAAAAAAAAAAAAAAAAAACCCCACCCTCCCCCAATAAACCACAAACACTCCAAGGGGCTCATAGAGATGAGAGTACAATGCTTGCTGGCGAGTCCCCACATCCAAAACCTGTCATCCTAGCAGATTATGGTTTGCTGTCTAAGTGCATGATTCTATGTCATGCCTGTGCTCTCTGCACCTAATAAACCTTGAGGCTCATACGGTTCATAATGTGCCCTATCTAAGCTAGGGTGGTGGCATTATTTATTATCTCTGGTGTTAATAAAAAGGGGGAATCTGGAGGTGGAGAATGTCCATTATCTATACTGGGGTTAAATGTAAAGAGTATATCCTCTATTGAGAGCTTGATGCAAAGGCTGGGGTGAAGTGACACCTGGCTCTTTACCACACCAAGCAGCCCACCTCAACAGGATTGTGGAAGACCAAGGGATATACCTAGGTTCAGATACAATCATCACCCAGCACCACCTGAATGTATTATCCAGCGATACAGAAAATAATAAAGGTTTTATATATATTTATTTATCTTAGTAACCTGAGGGCTAAAAAGATTTGGAATAGTTCTTCTCAGAAGAGGTCCATCAGTAAGGGACTAAAGTGGACAGTTTATTACATAAAATATGGTTAAAATGGAGTTGGAAAGAGGGTGGTTTCTTCAGCTCCTTTTATAGGGTTCCTCTCTTTGATAACAATAGAATACCTGATGATCCAGGACAAACCATTTTTGTTTTTTGGCATTAGAGAGGGAGGAAATGAGGGTATGGGGTGTGATGGTCAAAGGCAGGAAGAGTGAGCAATGGTCCTCAAACCAAAGAGTCCCCTATCTGCAGGTCCTCCTACCCTTGAGTCTGAGCTCAAGCTCTAGGGTGGACACAGAGAGGCCTTGTAGTGAGTGGTTTGCATTCCGAGGTATGAGGATCCCTGGTAAAGTCAGCAGCACCTGGTTTTTGGAAACCAGCCCACAAGATAAGAACACTGCAACCAAGCTTGTAACTAATACTGCTATTTAACTATCATCCAAAAGAGAAAAGGGGAAGAAATCCCCACTACATTGGGAGGGTTTAAGCTTTCATATAAGATCGTCTAAATAATCTCTTCATTTGATCTTAGGGTTTCTTAAGCAAATTCCCATTCAATGATCGTATCTCGTTAAAGGCACTTTTTATGACATGATCGGAAAGGATTTTTTTTTTTTTGGTACTGGGAATTGAACCCAGGATGCTCTATGACTGAGTTACATTCAGCCCTTTTTATTTTTTATTTTGAGACAGGGTCTTGCTAAGTTGCTGAGGCTGGCCTCAAACTTGAGATCTTCTTGCCTCAGCCTCCCATGTTGCTGGGATTACAGGCATGTGCCACCATGCCGGCAAGGAGTGAATTTTAACTGCAATGACATCAAGATTAATTCCTGGGGACGAAGAGCCGCCTGGAGAACTTAAAGTGATTTCAACAGGCAAATAATGTTGTTGTGAGCATTTCAACAGATGCACACCCAGAAAACAATGTATGCCCTGAACACATTTATATTGTTCCTTTAGTTTTCCAGCTGTTTCTAGCTGGAAACTGCTCTATAAAAAGCTAGAAATAACTCTGTAAAGAGATTGCACTCACTACTTGATTGATTTTCAAGACACTGGCCCTAACTTCTTATCACAGCTGTGCTTGACAAAATTAGCAAGTAACTAGTTCTACAGGGGAAAAAGAATGAAGTCAAGTTGAGCCAAGCTTTCTTAGAGCACAGGGATTCTGTCCCTGACCAGAAATGGCAGGACCAATTGCTGAACCCATAGCAACTGAATGCAATATGAAATGTCAGACTACTACATGTGAAATGTAAGACTTTTCATAGGCAAGATTAAGTGTTATCTCTAAATATAAATCATGGAGCATATAATTTTCCTTTCTTTTCTCAACACTTCTTATTGATCTCAGGCTTAAAATATTAGTTAAATGAGAATTATAAAAATTATATAAGGGGTTGAGAAAGAGTAAAGGGCTAATTTTTGCCTACAAGTGTGGGTTGAGGATCTTGATCCTTCATATCATACTCCCAACTAGAGAACAAATACAAAAATAAACACACCATGTTATACATTATACAAAGTGTAAATCTACAAACACAAGTGTACTATTAGAGTTGTTCCTCAGAAGCAGTTCCCTCCAGTCCCTTAGAGAGGAGGAATGGGGACGGGATGATTTTCATTATTTCATACGCCTTTTCATGTCTTAAAAAGTTTGTAATAACAGTCTCAGTAGCGCAAACAATTTCATGTGAAAACAAAAGCTGTAAAAATAAATTACTTTTGAAGAAACACGGGTTCCTCTGTCTGCAGCTCAGAATTCATCATGTCGTACTAAGGCCTCCCCAAAATCTGTGGCCTGGCTGCCCACAAACAAATCATACTTGTCAACAATCTCCTCCTTAGTAAGCTTGCCATCCTGAAATCAGAGAAAGCAGTGAGTTGAGGCAGAATATTTCCTATTCCAAATACAGAAATACTACAGAGAACATGAGTTAATCAGGATTTAATTAAATGTGAATTCAACCTAAATCTTTCTTCCATATATACACAGAGGGAGAAAATAACAATGAGTATGTTTCTCTTATTAAGAAAGTTAAAACTGAAAGGGTGGTGATTATTATAGCTAAAAAGTTCCAAGACTGAGGAGCAAACTGTTAACATGTAAAACATCTGTTAGATATGGGCAAGAGATGGCCAATAACAACTGGACAATACTTCAAAGTGAATCAATCAAGTTGCTATCTAACAGGAACAATGAAGTCTGCCAATATCAAGTCTAGCCTGCACCTCCCTCTGTCCTTGCCACCAACCAGAATAGATACACCCAAACAAAGACTCTGACACACACCTCAAATAGTATTAAGATTCCCAAGGGACAACTGCTCATATTTCCTTCTCTCATGTAGCTAAGACAAGGCAGTTGGCAACTGAAGTGACTGAGTAAGAACTCAAAACAGACCAACCTTAAAAGGTTTCTAAGATTCTGCATCTGAAACTGAAGATTAGCCTAGATAATATAATATTCAAAATAATAGAAATCCCCATCTTTAGACTTTCAGTTTATTTTAACCACAATACTGAAATCTCGACAAAAGTGACAGAGTATAGTGATAACACTATTCTTTTTTCTTTAGTTGTAGTTGGACATAATAACTTTATTTTATTTATTTATTTTTATATGCTGCTGAGGATAAAACCCAGTGTCTCGCCCGTGCTAGGCGAGCACTCTACCACTGAGCCACAACCCCAACCTATTAACACTATTCTTAGTGAACTGTATATCTCAGATAATCGATCAAGGACAATTTTAATAGATTCCAAGGAAAAGCTGACTCTCTATTAAAAAAAAAAAATTAAAGTACATTTAAGAAGGAAATAACCAGCAGGCAGAATGAGTAATAGGTTAAAGAAAAAAAGAAGAAGAAAGGAAGTAACAAAGCAGAAAAATAAAAAGAAAATTTCCTGAGTATCCAAAGATAATAAGTGATGCACGCTGCGTGCAGGCTACACAGAGGCTCTTTTATGCAGCCCAGGTTCCTCCAACACCTTGAACACTGGGCAGAGATGACTAAAATGAGACCAGAGAGCAAGTGTTGCTTTCACAGTTTTCAACTGCCAATTTTAAATCCTAAGCAAACACATTAATTAAGATCTTAAATGCTCTATGTATCTTGACAAAAAAATTTTTAGGCAAATTTTTTAGTCTGTTTTCCTTAGAAACAGACTCATATTACTAGGCTTCTTTGGCCTGTTCAGACTTACCTTATTTTGGTCAGACTCATAGACTAGGTGCCTAGCTTCTGCCTCTGCATGGTCATAGTCTGAGGGGAGTATCCAGTCTTTGGTTTCTTCCTTGTCCATCTTCCCATCACGGTTCTTATCTCGAAATTCAACAAACTGCTCTCGCTCTGTCTTCACCCATTCTGGCTCATCTGCATTTCCATCATGGCTGTACATGTCACCTGTGTGCAGAGAAATACATACAAAAAAAAGTTTGTCCTTTTCCAAAGACTGCCTCATGCTTTGGTCTAACCCTTCTTCATCTGTTTTCAACCTAATAGCAGTTTATATTGGTACTTCAGGCCAGAACCCTTAGAAAAAAGCTTATTTTCCTGAGATTAATTAATAATCTCGCAAAAAGACCATTTCCAGCTATTGACTTTGAGTTACACAAAAGCAAAGAGATGCCTTCTTATCTTAAGATATACAGAAATAAGATGAGTTGATCAGCACCATGACAGGTGGACTAGTTATTCCCAACATTTTATTTTGACACTTGGTAGCTATTTAAATTGGACCACTGGTTTAAAAAGCACACTTTTAAATTATCTGGGAAACTTAGAAGCCAAAACGAACTACTAACCAACTAATCAACTCCTACATAAAATGCATTATACCAGTGGTCTTTAGTCAGGGCAACATGCCCCTGTGTAAATAGGAACACTGTCAAGGAGTACACAGGGAAGGACCAGACAGGAAAGAATCAAATTTCATGTCCTGAACTTTCAGTTTCCCTAAAAAGCTTATCTGCAGAATATAGCTCTGGCCCTGAAGGATTCTTTCCTGTCTCCCCTTTACCATTACCCTTTCCCACTGTATACAAGAGAGGCATATTCTCTCAGCCATTGCGAAACTTTACAGTGTAAAAAGCTCCACTCCATGATGATGAAAAAAGTGCCAATTAGAAACATTAGTGTTGGTATTAAGAAAGATGTTTGAAAAAATGCATAACAAATGTTAAAGGCTTTGCTTAAAAAAAAAAGAAAACCTGAAAAGAGGGTCTAATTGAGTTTTAGCCATGGGATCATTAAAAATAATTTTTGATGACAGATCAATTGATTTTTTCATATAAGTCAAAAGGCATTCCAAAAACTAAATGATACTGCTATAAAAATATTCCATTCCCATCAACTTATATAAATAAGGTCTCTTAGTATCTACTCTTAAAAAAAATAAAATTAGGAGTTAGTGTTGAATTATTTTACTCTAATGGCAAGTAACTGCCATCCATAAATACAAAACTACTAGGAAAAAAGGTAGCAAAGAGATACATTGTTGTTTAATATGAACATGTTTGTAGTAAATGTTATTTTGTCTGTTTATTAATAATTGTAACAGTAACTGAACCTAGAAAAGACTTAAAAACATTTAAAAACAACACTTAAACATACTTAAGAGCTTAGGAAACAAGTATTTGTATATATAGAATACACTTGCATAACTACGTCAAGGTGGTTTAAGGCTTTTAGATACTTCTGTGGGGAAAGTGAATTAAAAATAGAATTAAGAAACGAGACAGTATAAAAATTAGTAGAGAATTGCTAATTCAAGACAATACTATTTCTTGTCAGTTTTGTCATCAGTAAATGAGAAAAAGACCCCAAAATGCCTACAAAATTAAACAAATAATTGTAACCAAGCAATGGTCACACTATTACCAACTGAATGCTATTATTTAAAATAATACAGTACCAAAGAATTATTTCATTTTTAATTGTTCTTAAGTGAAGACATAACCGCTAACATTTATTGAGTGCTTATTGATTTCTAGGCATCATAATAAACATTCTACTTATACTATCACTTTATCTCCCTGAATTATTTTAGGACAAATCCCAGGAATCCCTCACACTATGTATTTTAGAATGTATCTGTTATGTTTTATAAAATCAATTCCTTGGTATAATCTAATACCCAGTCCAAATTTGAACTTTCTGATTCTTTTTTTACAGTTGGTTTGTCCAAGCTGGCCATGGTGGCACATGCCTGTAATCCCAGCCACTCAGGCTAAGGCAGGAGGATTGCCAAGTTTGAGGCTAGCTCCAGCAATTTGGCAAAGCCCTAAGCAATTCAATGAGACCATGTATCAATGTGAAAAATACAGAGGGCTAGGGATGTAGCTTAGTGTTAAAGAGCCCTTGAGTTTAAACTCCAGTGACAACAAAATCACAAAAAAGCGAAAACCAAAATAAAGTTTGTTCAAATTATTCACATGAATGATGAGTAGGAAGTAGCTATGGTGTTTATTTTTAATTTATTAAATTTTAGAGATATATTTCAGAACTAAGGTACTTTATAATGTTAACATTTACAATCAGCAGTTTACTCTATAATTAAAGTTATAATTAACTATTTTAGATGCCTATTTTAAAATATATAAGAGAATGTTGTTTTTCAAAATTCTTTTTGAAGTGAGAAAACAAATCTGAAGACTCCTGAGAAATACTGTATCTAATTAAATGCACCTGCGTCTCATGTAAGACATGGGAGCAAACCTAAAAAGGCTAAATAGTTTCTGGAAACTCTAAGCAAAGGAGTCAGTCAGTACTGTCATTTTCCAAAACCTAGGGATTAAGAGCAGATTCAGTCACTTCCTCTGATTTTATCTCAAGAAGTTCTTCAGAATTTCAACCTTGCCAAATTCTCCAGGCTATAGTATATTCAGAAAATGTATTTATATGAAGTTCAGAAGCCAGAGTCCTGTACCAATTACCCAAGGGTCAAGAAGACTTATTTACAGTATACAGATTGGAAAGTTCTGAATTAGAGAGGAAATGGAAATATGTTTAAAATACATAGTTTTCCCAAAGCCCAAATGTTTTCTTTGGTAAGTGGATGCTGATCCATAGTGTGTGTGTGTGTGGGGGGGGGGGGGGGGGGGGGGGGGGGGGGTGGAGGGAAGAGGAAGGAACTTTGGATTCTGCAGAGGGGAGTGAGGGGAGGGATGGGCTGTGGGGAGGAGAAGGATGGTAAAATGAGACAGGCATTACAGCCCTATATATGTATGATTACACTATTGGTGTGACTCTATACCACATACAACCAGAGGAATGAGAAGTTGTGTTCCATTTGTGTACAATGTGTCAAAATGCATTCTACTGTCGTGTATATAACTACTTAGAACAAATTTAAAAATATATATATTCTTTTCATAGAAGCTAGAAAATACAACATAAGGCTGGGGATATAGCTCAGTTGGTAGAGTTCTTCCCTCACATGCACAAGGCCCTGGTTTAATCCCTATCACCACCACCGAAAAAAAAAAAAAAAAAAGAAAAAAAGAAAAAAAAAAAAAAAAAAACAATATAATGAGCATTTTAGGGGTAGATGAGTAAAGACATAAAAAATATTATTTGAATTCTACTTAAAAAGGATTCAATCCTTGGATAATATTAAGGATCAGAAATTTTTTGGTTGAGGGGCTGGGGATGTGGCTCAAGTGGTAGCGCGCTCGCCTGGCATGCGTGCGGCCCGGGTTCGATCCTCAGCACCACATACAAAACAAAGATGTTGTATCCGCCGATAACTAAAAAAATAAATAAATATTAAAATTCTCTCTCTCTCTCTCTCTCTCTCTCTCTCTCTCTCCCCCCTCTCTCACTCTCTCTTTAAAGAAAAAAAGAAATTTTTTGGTTGAGATTAAGAAGTTTTTAGAAATACACATTTATTTTAGAGATGCATAACCAAATGTTTATAGATGAAATGAAACGATGATTAGGATTTACTTCAAAATAAGAAAGGAAGCCAGGGGCTGGGATTGTGGCTCAGCGTTTTATGTCCAGCACCTCATTAAAGGAAAAAAAAAAAAAAATGAAATCAACAAATAAAGGTATTGTGTTCATCTAAAACTAAAAATATTTTTTTAAAAATGATGGCTTCTTTACCAGTTCTGCCTTCCTTTCTTCCATTTTTCTTTTTTAAAAAGAAGGAAGCCGGGTGTGGTAGTGCATACCTGTAATCCAGCAATTTGGAGGCTGAGGCAGGAGGATTGCACATTCAAAACCAGTCTTAGCAATTTAACAAGGCCCTAAGCAACTTAGAGAGACCCTAGCTCAAAAAATACAAAGGGCTGGAGATGTGACTCAGTGTTAAACACCCCTGGGTTCAATGCCAGGTACAAAAACAAAACAAAAAAGGGGGAAGAAGTGGATGTGGCTGAGGGTTGATGGTTGTTGAGGCATAGGGGTCATTATATTCTTCTAATTTTATGCATGTTTATAATACTCTGTAATAAATTGAAAAAAAAAAAAAGAACTAAGCAGCATAACTCTTGGGCCTCTTATTAATGTTACATGTAAGAGGCAAACAACTTTGCTTCTTTATGATCTTTTTCCTCAACAGGACAGAAACTGGCACAGCCCTAGAAACTATAAAATGTATTGGAGAGACTTTAAGATTTATAGAGACGAACACCCCAGGTGTAAAAGTGTCTCCATTAGTTACTGACTTATGATGCAGAAAACAGAAGTATCTCCTTATGTGGCAGAAAACAGAAACATCTCCTCATGTGGCCTCAATGCTTGGCAAGTGGTGATACTTAATAGTGATAAATCTAAACCTAAACAATGATGATAAAATGGCAAAAGAGAAGAATGAAAAAAAACATTTAAAAGTAGAAAATCCTATAAATGTCAACCTGGACTCAGAAGACACACTCAGGCATTTATCCACTATCCTGATGAACGCCAATTAAAAAAAAAAAAAACTTTGGTGGGGGGAGCTATTTTCATTGCTCATCCCTCTTTCTCTAGTAGGTATGATTAGACAATATCTAAGTAGAGACTGTTCAATGCAGTTTAATGACAGGTGATAGAAGTAGGTCTTTGGTCTCCCTTACAGACTTAAAATAAGTATTTCAGGTAAAGATAAGAGACCTAAAAATAAAGCAGTGGTTCACTAGAATAAGTTACTATAAGCAAAAATAAGATGTGAAATATCAACAGAACAGAGAACCCAGAAATCTACACATCTATAGTCAAGTGATTTTTTTTTTTCAATGTTAAGGATTGAACACAGGGCCTCATGCATGCTATGCAAGTGCTCTTCCACTGAGTTACATCCCCAGTCTCTAGAGCCAATTGATTTTTTTAAAATATTTTTTTAATTGTAGATGGACACAATTTTATTTAGTTTTTCTTAATGTGGTGCTGAGAATCAAGCCTAGTGCCTTGCACATCTAGGCAAGTGCTCTACTACTGAGCCAAAATGATTTTTGATAAAGGTGCCAAAACCATACATCGGAGAAAGGACAGCCTCTATAATAAATGGTGCAGAGGAAATTGAATCTCCATATTAGAAGACCAAAACTTGACCCCATCTCCTACCACATACAGCAATCAACTCAAAATACACTGAAGACCTAAATGTAAAACCTGAAAAATTAAAAAGTACTAGAAGAAGACAGAGAGGAAACATTTTTTAAAAAATATTTATTTTTTAGTTGGACACAATATCTTTATTCATTTATTTTTATGTGATGCTGAGGATCGAACCCAGGGCCTCACATGTGCTAGGCGAGCGCTCTACTGCTGAGCCACAACCCCAGCCGAGAGGAAACATTTTTAAGACATCAATTTAGGCAGTGATATTCTGGATAAGACCCCCAAAACCAAAAACCCAGGAAACAAAAGTAAAAACGGACAAATGGGATTATATTAAACTAAGAAGCTTAAGTATATTAAACAATGAAGTGAAAAGAAAACAAGCAGAATGGGAAAAAATGTCAACTATTCATCTGATAAGGGGTTAATATCTAGAATATATAAGAAACTCAACAGCAAAACAAACAACAAATAACCCAATTAAAACGTGGGCAAATGATATTTCTCAGAAGACATAAAAATGGCCAACCGTGTGCGTGCGTGTGTGTGTGTGTGTGTGTGTGTATGTTTGTGGTATAAATAAAATGTTCAACATCACTCACTAATCATCAGGGAAATGAAAACCAAAAATTATAATGAGGTACCACCCCAGTTAAAATGGCTATCAGAAAAAAAGACAAAAAAACAACAAATGCTAGAGAGGATGTGGAGAAAGGGAACTCTTATACACTGTTGATGAGAATGTATATTAGCACAGCCATTACAGAGAACAGTATGCAGATGGGGCTCAGGGTTAAGCACCCCTGAGTTCAGTCCCCAGTACCATGGTACTAAAAAAGAAAACAATATGGAGGCCTCAAAACAACAACAAAACCTAACTAAAGACACATGTGATCCACTCATTTCACTACTGGTTATATGTCCAAAGAAAATGAAATCTGTATATCAAAGAGATACCTGTGGGCTGGGGTTGTAGCTCAATGGTAGAGTACTTGCCTAGCACATGTGAGAGGCACTAGGTTCTCTCCTCAGCATCACATAAAAAAATTAAATAAAGGTTAAACAAAAAATAGACACCTGCATCCCCATATTTTTGCAGCAATATTCACAATAGCCAGGATAGGCAATAATCAACTAAGGTATGCACTGATGGCTGAATAAAGAAAATGTGGTGTATATACACACAATGGAATGTTATTTAGCCAAAATAATAATAATAAAATCTCTCATATCCAGCAACACAGATGAAACTAGAGGACATTTATATGTTACGTGAAATAAATCAGGCACAGGAAGAGAAAAACGGGGGAGGTGGGGTTGTGGCTCAGCAGTAGAGCACTTGCCTAGCGTGTGCAATGCCCTGGGTTTGATCTTCAGCACCACATAAAAATAAGTAAATAAAACAAAGGCATTGTGTCCAACTACAACTAAAAAATAAATATTAAAAGAGAGAGAGAAAGAGAAACGGCATATTCTTTTTCCTAGAAGGAAGTTAAAGAAGTTGATTTGATAGAAGACGACAGTGATTGTTAAAAGTTAGAAAGAGGAGGGGGAAGTGTAGATAAAGGGAGGCTGGATAATGGACACCAAAAGATAAGTCAGACAGGAGAAATGAGTTATAGTGTTCTATAGCACTATAGAAAATTACAGTTTATAACAATTTATTATATATACTTATAGAACCAAAAGAGAGGAATTCAATGGTTCCCAACACAAAGAAATATAAATGTTTAGGAAAGGCTAACTACACTGATTTGCTCATTATATTTTGTATACCTGTACTCATCATACTGTGTATTGTCATACTTACCTCATCAACATGTACAATCATTACATATAAATTAAAAATTAAAAGGATGCTCAGTGATAAAGTGCTTGCCTAGCCTGGGTGAGGCATTGGGTTCAATTCAAAGTACCACCAAAAACAAACAAACAAAGAATAAAGATGTGAAGTATAAAAATATCTAATATGTTTCAAAATAGAATAACATTTGTAACAAGGACATTTAGTAATTGTGAAATAGTTTATTCAACTACTTGGTAAGACAAGTAGCTCTTTTTTTAAAAGCCACAGGAAAATCTTCAAATCATTCTTATAAAAAAGAACCAGAGCTTTACTTGGAAGAAATTAGCCCCAATGACGGAGTATCCTGCCCCCAAGAAAATTAACAGATAACCAAAAAGAAAAATGGAAACAGAAAACCAAAATAGAAAAATAACCCTAAACAAAAAGAAAACTAGTACCAGACAGAAAACATGAATACAACATAATGAAAAGACAAGGTTATTAGAGAGCTGATCCCTCAAATAACCAGCTCTTTTAATCTACTCCCCAGTTCTTCTTCCTGAGTTTCTGAATGCCTCTCTGGGCTCCCTGTTAACTACTTACTATCAATTCATCAGAGCATCTGGGATACACTATTATCTGTGCTGCAGAAGACTGTAAGCACTAACTACATGTAGGTATCAAATCCTTGAAATGTGGCTGGTCCAAACTGGCATGTGCTATAAGTGTTAAAAAAAAAAAAAATTATTTTTTAATTTTTTTGTGGTACCAGGGATTGAACCCAGTACACTCAATCACTGAGCTACATCCCCACCCCTCCCCTCTTTTGGGAGGGGTACCAGGGATGGAACTCAGGGGCTCAACCACTGAGCCACATCCCCAGCCCTATTTTGTACTTTATTAAGAGACAGGGTCTTGCTGAATTGCTTAGCACCTCACTTTTGCTGAGACTAGCTTTGAACTTATAATCCTTGTGCCTCAGCTTCCTGAGCCGCTGGAATTACAGGCTCAACAATTTATATTAATAAGGGGAAATTATAGTATTTTGAAATATCAAATGCAATCTTGAAATTAATCTCATCTGCTTCTTTTTACTTTTTTTTTGGGGGGGGCACCAAGGACTGAACCCAGGGGCACTTACCAACTGAATCATATCCCCAGCCCTTCTTTTTACTTATTAATGTGGCTATTAAAAAATAGAAATTACATATGTGGGTCACATTTTCATTTTGATTGGTTAGTGCTACTACAGATAGTTTACCACAACCCACTATTCATCACACTGGAATGGTTTAACGATCTTTGAAGAGCTGAATCATGGGAAAAATTATTTCTATGGGTGATTACATCTCCCCAAGTGTCTCAGCTTTTTCTAAGGAAAAAAACACTTGAAAAAGAAACTTACCAATATACTCTTCTAGATCAATGAAACCATCAGCATTCTTATCTATATCCTCCATTGTTTCCTAAAACAGAAAAGAAGAATGAATTTCACAGAAGAGTATGATGTATCTGTACGTTTAAAACCATAGGAAATTGATGTTTTTCTAGCTAGAAAATGGTAAAATATTAGTGTCTCTAAGTTACAACATCCCCAGTCCTTTTTTTATTTTTTTAATTTTGAGATAGGATCTTGCTAAGTTACTGAGACTAGCCTCCAACTTGCAATCATCCTGCCTCAATCTCCCCAGTCACTGAGATCACAAGGCCAAATATTGGCAATTTCTTATGCATTAACCTAAAATAACTATGAGTCTTCCTAAAATAACTATGAGTCTTCTTGAAAGAACACTGCCACCGCTTAATGATGGTAGCTCTTGTCATGCTAATAGGAGATGTGACCATTAATTATGTCTACATCTATAGGAAGTCTATGTTATCAGTAATTGCATTCTGTGAAAATTCTTCAACATCACTGTTATTAGTTTCTGGTAATTGATTGGGGGATATTTTTTTAAAAAAGGATTTTCCTACCAATGAAATGGCAAAATACATCATCTTATGTCAAGTAATGTCATGACAAACAGAAAGCCTAAGGCACTTAGGAAAAAACCATGACAGAGCCAGGCACTGAAGCAATTGCCTGAATCCCAGTTACTCAGAAGGCTGAGGCAGGAGGACCACAACTAAGCAAAACCCTGTCTCAAAATAAAAACATTAAAAGGGCTGGGAATGTAGCTCAGTTTAGAATACTCCTGGGTTCAATCTCCATTATAGATAGTTGGATGGATGGATGGATGGATGGATGGATGCATAGTAGGCAGGAGGCAGGCAGTGACAAAACCTGGTCTGTGAATACAGCCAGTACTTGAAAAACAAGTCATTCTTCCAAAATTACAGGAAAGGTTCAAGAGGGGAGACAGCATAAATAACCAAAAGAGAAACTGAGTTCCTGTTCAGAACCCCGATCTCACCCACCTGCACTACTATGTCTTTCATATAGTCATATTCCTCAGGGTGCAGGAAAGCTGTGAACTCTTCCTTTGTGGCAATGAGGTCTCCATCCTTGTCTGCCATCTTAAACCTCCGCTCATCTCTAACCATCATCTGTTTATAGTTAAATCCATCATCAGGGTCTGGATCATCTAGAAAACAAACATTTAGGTCAAATATGGAAAGAAAATACAAAAATATATAGTATGGACAATCAATTTCCAAGAAATAAAAAACAAGCGATGAAGAAATAATTCTTGATTACACAGGCAGCAGTCTAAAGACATACAATTTTGGGATGAAGCTCCAGTAATCAATCATATCTCAGTCAGGTCCAAATTGAAGTAAATGTTTGCCAATCAACATGGAACTCTGTTTCCTGGGTTACTTAACTCAACATGTAATGTTTCATTGTTATTGATGTTAAGGCTTGAATTTCCTAGTTATATCTGGGAGGCAGTGGTGGCTCTAATGCCATACTGAGTTTGAAGTCTACCATCCCTAGCTGTGTTGTGTGGCCCTGGGTGAATAACTTAATTGTACCTCAGTCTCATCTGTAAAATGAGGATAATAATGATGCCTGCCTCATTGGGTTGTTATGAGGTTCAAGTGAGAACCAGCAACAACAGAACTAAGTCAAGCACTTAGAACAATGCCTGGCCTGTAGTTGGCATTCAATAAATGTCAATTATTGTTATTTTTATTAAACATTAATAAGATAGATATCAAAGACCTTCAGCCTCATTTTAAAGACATTTAGAGTTAAGCAACAGAACATCACCTCTTTAAGAGGTTACATTTTATCTATCATGAGTTACATGTATTATTTATCTTCCACTTACATGAAATTCTAGAAAATACAAACTAACCTAGAGTTACAGAGAATAGGTCAGTTGGTTGCTTAGGGACAGGAATATATGGAAGGTGAGATATGAGAAAAAAAATCTTTTTGGGGGGGAGGTGTAGATATGCTCATTATATTGACTGTAGTGATGGTTTCACTGGTGTATACATATGTCAAGACTCAATTGTTCATTTTAATATGCAATTGTACATTGCTTAGGCTGTTATTTAAAAATAGACATTAGATTACAACTAAATTTAGTCCTATTTGTTATAATGTTTAACCACACAAGTAGCAGATACTATATAAGAATCTAGAAGAATAAAATTTAATTTCCATAAGCTGAAAAAATGGTAAAGGAGTTAACCACAGAAAATAAAAAAGTTATTAAGTTACTGTATAAACCAAATGAGATAGCAGATGTGAAGATACTTTGAAAAGTAAGACACCACGTTAAAGGTAAGAAATTATTGTTCCTGCAATATATAAATAAAAAGGGCACTATTTTTTTTTTTAAGACCTTCAGGGCCCCTTTAACAGAAAGATCATACCACTGACCTCTGATACTGCAGTTCAATCTTTCCATATTTTAAGCACAGTTTAAAAAACAAAACCAAAAACGGATCTATTTTGAGAGCCAAGCAGCTTGAAGCTTCTTTCTTTGTTGAGTGTCAAAAATATAATGAGACAGCTTATTGCCTCATAAGGCTTTGGGACTCTATATTTGAATACTGAAAGCCAGAACAGGAGGGAGATGCAGAATTTATGGAAAATACCATCTTTCTCAGATACTAAGTCATCTCTTCTAAACAAATACCAAATTGCAGTACCAACTATGTAACAGAAAGAAGATAAGAGAAAATGTCACTTCACATTTTCAGATTAGATTCTCAGCTAAAAGCCCTCCTCCCCTCCTCTGGGATAAAACGTGGTGACTAGCATCAAGCAACCTAATAGCAACATGTACATATAAAAGAATGGAAAGGATGCAATGTATTATTTTTTTTAAATATTTTTTTTAAGTTGTAGCTGGACACAATATGTTTATTTATTCATTTATATGTGGTGCTGACACTTAAACCCAGGGCCTCACACGTGCTAGGCGAGCGCTCTGCCACTGAGCCACAACTCCAGCCCCGCAATGCATTATTTTTAAAAATGAAATTTATACACCTACAGTCCTGCTTGGGCTTCTATACTTATCCGAAGCACCATTTTATAGCCTTTCCTGGCCTGTACACAGCCTCTGGTTGGCCATTTAATCTAATTTTGGTATAGGCAGAGAGGATTTTAGTATTTGGTATCTTACTTGGGGTACAGACAATATTAACATTTCTTTTGTGAAGAGTAGATTAATTGAAACAGATTTTAATAGCCAAGATTATTTATACCTGAATTCAAAATTGATTTGAGAACACATTTTCACAAAAACTCTCCAGCACTTTTCTAATCCAACTCATTACCCACTGAGGGCCATCTCCTCACAGGCTTCCTGGGAAAGATGCCTTATAAAGACATTGCTTCTCCAGTCAGTGCTTCAGCTTGTGAACAGTTTCAGGCAGTAGGAATACCCATTACATTGAATCATCTGCCCTGTGAGGCAACAGAGCTTTCAACAGATTTTTATGCACATAATCATACACAGTTGAAGCAGCATTCTGGGCAGCAAGTTTGTGTCTAGGTCTGAGCTAAGATTTATTAATGTACCATTTTGTTTACATCACCAATAGTCTACCCTTTGCTTTATATTTATAATTAATTCTAAAAAGTCAGGAGGATGTTGGGCCTCAGCCAGAAAATAAGAAACACAGGATGACTCTCCATTTGTGCTGGCTTTTTAATACACATGTTCTTTATTGAGTGAATGATATGTTTGGTTCTTGGCTAAATGTCAAGTATTGAGAGAGAGATTACCACTTTGGTCTTAGGAATGTGAACAAGCCCTACACAGAAATAAAAGTCTCTTCACCAGAAATGTATGCACTCTTGTAATTAACATGGACAGCTGGCTATCTTATGGGGAAACAGATCTTTATATATACACTGCTAGTCAGTGGTGGAGAATGCTTCCTTTAACTTAATTTTGCCTAATTTCCGGGATAAAAATGCAAAAACACCATTTATATATTTTTGTCACAAATGGTAACCATGTACAATAGAGGAATCTCACAAATAAAAACACCCTAGATCATCAAATCCATAAGACCACCACCTACTATTCCATAGCAGGCAAGTGTAGAAGTGCCAAAATCAAAAAAAATTACTAACAGGTGGCCCAAAAAAGCAAAAAAAAAAAAAAAAAGCTACCAAATCAACAGAAAGCAATCAAATAACATTTATCTGCCTTGGAGCATTTGCAAAGCAGGCTGATAAACTCATGTGCCAGAGAAAACAAATGGGAAATCTTTATTTCTAAACTTCAGTAAGCAGATATACTGAAGCAGTTAAATTTTATCAAGGGAAGCTGTTTTATTTGAATTTTATTTTAAGAAAAGCAGTGATTTTCTTCCTCTTCTCCCCAATTATAAAGGAATCTAATTTGGTTTGAATTTCAGGTCCACCATCTTTGTGTGACTGGATTAAGAGACATCCAAAGGTCTCTTGCTTTTCATCACTGGAACAATGCAGCCTTCTAAATGAGATCTACTCCAAAAATTGTTCTTATGAGGGATGATAGAAAGAAAAAAATGGTAAAATATTTTTGCAATGCTAATGATGTAGAAGATGCTAGACTTCAGAAAACCACAATTAAGCAAATTTAAAAATACATAATATACAAATTTAAAATTAATAAGATGCAGGGGAATCAGTTCAGCATTGAATTATTTAGGATAGGCACAATTTCTTCCTTTCCTTTACTGTGTGACCCATTTGTTTCTTTGACTGAAGACCATAGTCTCGGCCAAGCTGACATCTTGCCCCTTACCCAGGTACGTGCCATAAGTCACGTTTCTGTACTCATCCCAGGAGATTAAGCCGTCTTGATTCATATCAAACTCCTGCCATTGGTTTTCAACATTGTCATATATGTATTTCTTCTGGGCGTGTTTAATCCAGGTTTTCAGCTCCCCCTCCGTCACAAACCCATCTTTATCCGCGTCTATTTTATCTACAATCATTCTACAAGACAAAATAGTTACGTTTCAAGGTGCCGGCTCCACAAGACTTTTTCCCCCAGATAGTAGGGACCTACCTAAAACGTAGCCGTAGGTGGCATTTTTATACTCTTCCCAGGAAACGAGGCCGTCCTCATTGAGGTCATGCCCCTTCCACTGTCGCTCTACATCCTCGTAAATCCAGCGCTTTTGTGCAAATTTAATCCAGTCTTTGAGTTCATCCACAGTGACAAACCCGTCCTTGTCGCCATCTATTTTACTTACAATCTTTCTGTAGAAAATGCAGAGAAATCCAGCAAGAGGTTAAAAGGACACAAGGCTCTGGAAATAGCCAAGTGTGTGCTGTGACCATAGGTGTTATCCAGGGCTAACACAAAGAAATAAAAAAATTGTCTCTGAAACAAAACTGCCAGACAGGCAACTGAAAATTTTTCTCTTAAGTGGCCCATTCCTGCCTATAGTGAGCCATCTGGTTAAGATAAACACAAGCTGTAGCTGGTGTGCTGAGACCAAAAGCAAACCCAGCCTATCTCTTTGGTTAGGTCTGAGCCTATGGTCAGAATTTCATGGAATATCCATGCCCATCTAAGTTCTCACACTACATCAAACAAGTAAACCTCTATATTTTTTCTTTATTACACTTAAAGGAGAATCTCCATTTCTTAGTAAATAATCATAATTGTTGACAATGGTTTTCTAAAACTTCAAAATATTTAAATCAGACTTTCAAAAATATAGATGCTTTTGGAAAAAATATTCTTCTTAAAAATATCACTTATATTTCAAAGCAAGTTTATTATTTTATTTTTTTGTACCAAGGACTGAACCCATGGGTGTTTTATCACTGAACTACATTCCCAGCCCTTTTCTTATTTTTTATTTTGAGACAGGGTCTCCCTAAGTTGCTTAGGCTGGCTTTGAACTTGTGATCCTCCTGCCTCAGCCTCTTGAGTCACTGAGATTAAAGGCATGTACTACCACACCTGGCCAAAGCAAGTTTATTTTTAAAAACAGGTACATAGACAGGACACTTATCTAAAACTCTGAGGAAATATAGTAAGAATGTGTATCTTTGATGAGACTGTTAATAAGCTGAGAGGGTTAGTGTGAAGATTATAAAGCTAATCAATCTACTTCTCTGCTTTGTGAGCTTCTTTCTTCCAGATCTGAACATCTTAGGGATTTATAAATATGTTCATGATATGAAAATTCCTGTTTAAAGATGCAATCATCAACTAGAGGCTCAGAAAAATCAAGTTATATAAATAAGTTTATGTGAACAGAAACAATCAAAACTTCCAAAAAGATGTGAAATCTCAGCTTACTACTATGCTTGACTGAAAAAGACTGTCCCTTGGTAATAAATGATGGCTTTTCCCAGTTTGTCTTAATTCCATTAATATAAGAAAGTGATTAGATCAAAGAGTATTGGTGACACTGTGAATACAATTTTGATACTAATATGGCATTAGCCATAATTGCATAAACCCTACAAATAACAAGCATTTTCCTTCACAGAATATGTAATCTTGTAGCCTTAACTCTAAAATGTTAATATATATCCTCCTTTAATTACATGGACATAACAACAGAACTTTTAAAACTTCACTCATTTTTTGCAGTAGTAGAAATATTAGGTAAGTGCTCCACCACTGAGTTGCATCCCCAGCCCTTCTTAAATATTATTTTGAGACAGGATCCAAATTGCCCAGGCTAGCCTCAAATTTGTGATCTTCCAGCTTCATCCCTCCCAGTATCTGGAATTACAGGAATGTGCCACCATACCTGGCTTTTGGGCAAGTTTAAATCTATAGAATTTAATCAATATTAACAGAATTAAGTTAGACCAGTATTGAAAACTTCTACATTATCTATAATGTAATCCAATTTATATTAAAATGGCATTGGCTACCAATAATGCCATTGCACTATTAAGAAAAAAATGGCAAGGTATCAAAACTTCTACCCCCAAATGATATTTTTAAACTATTATAAATAGCCCGAAGTGTATCACCCAGATTAATAAAAGACATATGACTATTCAAGATGGGCTTTTTAAAATGAAAGTGATTGAACAGCATTTTAGTCAATGGAAATACCCCAAATGTTTAATGTATGGGTTAGAAACTTGTTTTAAAAAAGGGATAGATAATAAATTTCTTACTTTTTTTTTTTTTTTTTTTTTGGTACCAGGGATTGAACTCAGGGCTACTTGACCACTGAGCAACATCCTGAGCCCTATTTTGTATTTTATTTAGAGACAAAGTCTCAATGAGTTGCTTAGTGCCTCAGTATTGCTGAGGGAGGGCTTTGAACTTGTGATCCTCCTGTCTCAGCCTCCCAAGCTGCTGGGATTACAGGTGTGCACCACCATGCCCAGCAATATTTCTTACACATGGTCTGGCATGAGAACATACATGCACATACATGTATATGACAACACTCTAATAAAAAAGTGATTTATGTCTTGCTGTTCACGCAGCTTGCAGGCAGTTAGTTACGAAAGTATATCAGGCACATCCTATTTAAGGCATGAAGCTCTTAATTCTGATCTTTAAAGGCTTGTGTTAATTTATGAAGCTAATGGCATAGTATACTATGACAGTGGAGAACCCTATAGACATAGTTATGATGCCACTAACCAGCACTTATTCTAGGACAGATATAATGCACTTAGTGGACCTCCTGTTATTAGAGCTACAAGGTAACACATGTCTCTATACATTTCAAGTGGCATAAAGCTGACCCTGAGTTGTTTTTAAAAATTTGGTCAATAAATGGCTCTACAAGGAGGTATAATAGTCCTGAAATTTGGGGTATGCAAAATTTTATATGTATAGATCCATACATGTGTACTTTTCTAAGGAAGAATACTTAGTTTTCATTAGACTTCCAAAGTGTTTGCGCCTGTGATCCCCCAAAAGATCATGAATTGCTATAGTTCATTTCTGTAGTAAATATATCAAGGACAAGAACTTTTTAATATTAAGGCATACCATCTCAAAATAAAAACCTTCATTTGAAGGATACATACGTGAAAATCAGTGCTTTGTAGGGAGAGGGAGAATGATAATATACATGCAGAAAAAATTTCTTATTTGGCAAATCTTAATTAACAAGAAAAAGGTGTGAATAGTTGTATGTTAAAATTGTTTAAAATTGGGGGCTGGAGTTCTAGTGCAGTGGTAGAGTGCTTGCCCAGCATGTGTGAGGCACTGGGTTTGATTCTCAGCACTATGTAAAAATAAATAAAATAATGTGTCCATCTACAACTCTCTTAATTACTTGCCTTATAGACAAATGGGAAAAAAGGGGGAATCTAGTTTTCAACTTCTGGTATATAGTTACCTGCCAAAACAATGTTTAGAAATGCCATAGTAAATAAGTTTTGTTGTTGTTGTTGTTGTTTTAAGTAACCTGGGATTTTTGCTTCCAATAGTATGTTACTGCATATACTAGGGATACTTGTCACTATCTCCAAAATTTGGGAGAAGCAAACAGTACTTAGTTCATTCATATTCTAATTAAATACAGTCCACTTATGTGTTGAACCTTTGATATTTGCTGAGAATAGAAAGGAACATCTTTTCCTCTACTGAAAACTGCTAGCAAAACTGTTCTACTGCCTGCAAAGAGACAGAACATCTACCTTAAATGACCAAACCTAAAGAACCTTTATTATTTAAGGGTAATTCTGTGAAGCAATTTTTGCAGATTGAATGTAGGATGGACAGGTACAACATTAATAGGCAATGACATTCAGGCTGAGAACACCCTCATGAATCTCTATTTTCAGCATGGAATGTTAACATAGTTACATGATTAAAACTGAAAGTGAGCACAGTCTCTCAAAGTTAGAAAAGCAACCTAAGAAGACTTTTTTTTTTTTAAGTTGTCAATGGACCTTTTTATTTTATTTATTTACATGTGGTGCTGAGAATTGAACCCAGCAACCCCAGCCCAAGACTGACTTTTTGATAGATGGTTTCTTTCTTTTTTTTGAACCTGCAGTGCTTAACCACTGAGCCACATGCCTGGCCTTTTTTTTTTTTTTTTTTAATATTTTATTTAGAGACAGGGTCTCACTGAGTTGCTAAGTGCCTTGCTAATCTGCTGAGACTGGCTTTGAACTCACGATTCTCCTGCCTCAGCCTCTCGAGTTGCTGGGAATACAGGCATGTGCCACTGCACCTGGCTGATATATGGTTTCTATATCTAGCTTCTTTCCTTTGTTTGATGGTATTGGGGATGAACTCAGGGGCACTCTACAGTACTCAACCCTTTTTATTACTAGACAGGGTCTTACTACATTGCCCAGCCTGGCCTTGAACTTGCAATCCTCCTGCTTCAGCTTCCTAAATTTTGGGGATTATAGGTGTTTACCACTGTATCCAACAATATCTACTTTCAAATGTCTTGGGATAGCTGGTTGTATAGCAAAATCTTTTAATTACTTTCTGTTACTGTTGAAGAATAAAATATTGTACCCTTTAGTCAGCAGATAACACAAAGAAAGAATGTTATATTGAAGTATAAAGTAAACTCTATAATAATGCCTTATATCATAGCACTATCCCTGATGGCAAAATATTTTTGGAAATTACTGAGTGGTACAACTTCCACACAAATCTCTGGAGTAGAGTTCAGAAAGCTGCACCAACAGTGCTCATTGAAGAGAAAATTTTTTTCACAAAATTGACTTTTTCTTTTAAAGCAAGGCCTTAGAAGACCCAAAGGACATTCTAGGCTCCAGTTAGAAATAATCAGCTGGGATTCTACTAAATAAACTCTCTAGGTGAAAGGCTATCTGCTCAGAGAGTCACAGAACCTGACTATGGCCCAGCCATTACTGAAGCTATGACACTAAGACCATTACTTGCTATAATCTCTAAAAGGCAAGGTTGCTTTGGATTGTGTTGAAGGACACTCTGAAAATTATAAACTGTACAGAAAGTGATAGTCCAGGGGTAAAATCTGCAATTTTTTCCCAAAGACTAGGCTTGGGCAATAATGAATAAATACATCACAAACTATTTTTCCAAAATTAAAAGCAACAGAGATAAAGATGACCCATGTAATGTTCTGAGATCAAGACAATACAGTTCAAGATGGGTCTTGCAGTACCTGGTACTTTTATTAAAAAATGATTTTGCTTTGTAGAATGAGATACAAATTGTTATTCAATGGAGAAATGTAGAAAAGCAGGCACTTAATTAAATTTTAGTGGTAGCAATTCTGTGGTTAGCTTTCAGAAGACAGAGGTCAGCATAACTTTAGTGGTGACTAAACCAGAAAAGAAAAAAAGAATCAGCTGATTTACAAAGAATGGTAAATCCCTAAGTAGCCCCTTGAGATCTGGCACCTTACCCAAGCCTCTCCTTGCTCTCTTCTGGTGTAAGCTGATCAAAGGTCTTTGCTTCTTCAGCACCCAAGAAGGCATCATGATCATAATCAAAACTCTGAGCATCATTGTGAACTTTGTCGCTAAGTTGAGGCTCATGATGTACACGGTCCTTCTTTTCTGTGGGCTTGCTCAAGGCAAAGGCTGTGCACAGGGACAAGCACATAAGGAACTGTCGTAGGTCCATGATAATCGGATCTTAAGAAAACAAAAGGCAGTTGATAAAGGAGACAATAAGCTTAACAATTAAACAAGAAAACATTCATGTACCAGTTAAATTTTTAATATACATACAAGTCTATGCAAGTCAGTTATATTACCCAAGTATTTTATTTAATCCACACAATAAATATGGAAGAATATTGAAATCTCAAGATTATGATGGTGGGAAATTTTTACCAGTTTTCTTCATCGATTTTAAGTTGATAAGGAATTTATAGCTAAAATCTTTTTGTAAGTAGTGTCTCTTTAAAAGACATCAAAATAGAACTTTAATCCTTTTGTCTGAGTTGATAACAGTTTAAAGTCATAGGACCAAGATTTAAATCCTGACTCCAAATCCTTTATTTTTTATACTATATAAGTGGTCTGGTCTTCAAACTTGGCTGGTTATTAGTCACTTAGGAAGCCTTTTTTAGTAAGTTTTCCCACTGATTTAGAATCTCCGAAGTTGAATCCAGGCATCTGTATATTTAAATGCTTCTCCCATGATTCTGATGACCATCCCATTAGGAACTAATGAAATATTGAATAGTTTCCTTGTTCTATAACACCAATTTTCCCAAGTCCCAGTTCAACCCTGAATCACCATCAAAGACCAAACCAGTTAGATGGTCCTGTCATAAAAACTTCTTTATCCCTTTGTACAGTTGTGTTTCTCAAACTTGCTCAAGCATAAGAACCATAAGGAATACTATTCAAAGTAAAGACTCCCAGGCTCTTCTCCAGACCTCCACACTGCTACTCTGCAATCACAGGGAACTTCATGAACAAGCATAAGGCTGGAACATTTTATTGAAAAAATGTGACTAAAAAACTGCAGAAAAGCTTTGAGTTAAATACCTGTTTAGCACATTCTATAGATATCCCACAGTAATGTCCAGAGGTTAAGGCCATAGAGGTAAAAACAAACAAACAAAAAACTTAAAATTACAAACCAAGGGGAAAGGTTTTCCTAGGCTTTCATTTAAAAAAAAATTTTTTAGTTATCGATGGACCTTTATTTATTTATTTATATGCAGTACCTAGAATCAAACCCAGTGCCTCACACATACCAGGCAAGGCTCTACCACTGAGCCACAACCCAGCCCCTAGGTTTTCATTTTTAAATTAATCTTCCATCAGTAGAACATGGACTTTGAATGCTCCTGCCCCCAGTGAGATTAAGTTTTTGCAATTTCACATTATTGCTCACTCATCTCCCATTATGCCTAATCCCTGGTACCTTTCACTGACTTTATTTGGAAGTAGAGGATTTTTGCAGATGTAATCAAGTTAAAATGAAGTCATGTTACTTTAGAGTGGGCTCTAATCCAAAGACTGGAGTCCTTATAAGACAATAATTTGAACACAGACACACTGAATGAGAGTGCCATATACTGAAAGAGGAAGAGATTAAAGTGATGAATCTACATGTCAGGAAATGCCAAAGATTGCTAACAGCAGAAGCCAGGAATAGCTATGGAAGGATCCTCCCCTAAAGTCTTCAGAGATTATGGTCCTGCTCACACCTATGATTTTGAACTTTTAGCCTCCAGAACTGAAAAACAATAAAATTCTATTCTTTTAATTCACTCAAGTTTGTAGCAATTTGTTACAGCAGCCCTAGGAAACTAATAGAAGGCTACAGTACCACAGGAAAGTTAAATGAATTACACCCTGTCCTAATCAGCATTTTAAACCAGTCACAGATTTCACCTTCCTCAGGATGTCACTAATGGACCTAGCTAGTCTAAGCATTCACATTTTCTATGTAAATACTGATAAAAATTTAAAAATTCTTTCAGCATAACTTCTACAAGTTATCAATTCAGAATCCCTATAAATAATTATCTTGATCCTGTCTCAAAGTTTTGGGAACCAGGGCTGGGGATGTGGCTCAAGCAGTAGCGCGCTCGCCTGGCATGCCTGCGGCCCAGGTTCGATCCTCAGCACCTCATACAAACAAATGTTGTGTCCGCCGAAAAACTAAAAAATAAAAAAGTTTTGGGAACCAGAATGAAGGAAATGAATTGAGTCAGGGGATAAGGAAATCAAACATGCCAATATATTACACACCTTTCAATGTATCCATTTTTCTTATTAAGTCCCAATTGATAGCTAAAAAGGTAGATTATATTAACTTGGATTTATACAGCCCTTTGGATTAAAAAAAAAAAAAGCCCAGTACAGCTAAAGGTGAACATGTTATATAAAGATCCTGTAAAAAGGAAAGCAAATAGAGAAATAAGTTTAATTGCAACACAACCTATAGAGCTGACTATATAGAAAGGCACAACCTGAGGCCTCCATGAACAACTTCCAGGCTATGAAAGAGCACAAAGGGCACAGGATACAATCACTGGGAAAGCAGGGGAAGGGAGAAGTCCTGGACTGACAGAGAATACAGCATCAGAGTAGAAAGCATTACAGAGTAAATAGATCAGCGCCAATAAAATGAAAAGAAATATAGCTAAAGGGCTGGGATTGTACAGTTCTTGCCTAGCATCGTGTGAGGCACTGGGTTTGAATCTCAGCACCACATATAAATAAATAAATAAAATAAAGGTCCATTGACAATTAAAAAATATTTTTAAAAAAGAAAAAAGAGAGCTGGGGTTGTGGCTCAGTGGTGGAGCACTGCCTGGCATGTGGGCCCCTGGGTTCGATACTTAGCACCACATAAAAATTAATAAAATAAAGACATTGTGTCCAACTACAACTAAAAAATAAATACAAAGGAAACAGAAAAAGAAAGGTAACTAAGGAGGTAATCGGGTGGTTACTCCCTAAGCACCAATTCTCAAAAGAGATGGTTAGGCTGGGGTTGTGGCTCAGTGGTAGAGCACTTGTCTGGCATGTGTGAGACACTGGGTTCTATCTCCAGCACCACATAAAAAAATAAAGTTATTGTGTCTATCTACAACTAAAAATATTAAAAAAAAAAATCTGTCACCCAATGATGTGATAATTAAGACTGATGAGACTGATGAAAATCCATCAAGGGAAGCACGGAGAAAGCAAGATCACGAGATCCATAGCGAAAGGGGGTAGAAAGTGTTATTTTTCTTACACTGCTCCCACCAATGTTAGATTTGGTTATACTTTTGAAACTTCCTCAACATTTTCATTCCAATCCATCAAAACACACAAATTGTACAAAGATACCATAAGAAGATGTTCAATGATGACAGCTTGTTTTTTGTTTTAATTTTGGGGTATTGGGGATTGAATTTAGGGTGCTTTACCACTTAACCACAGCTACTGACCTCTTAATTTATTTTGGGATGGGGTCTTGCAAAGTTTTCCAGGCTAGCATTGAACGTGTGATTCTCCTCCCTCAGTCTCTCTGAGTAGCTGGGATTATAGGTGCATAACACTGCAACCAGCATGAGAATTTTTAGTTATTAAAATAATTGGAAACAAGCTATACCAGAGAACTGGTAAGACATTAAATCTACATAAAGGAAAAGTACACCAAGTTTAAAAAGAATGAAGTGGATCTATCTTCAGTGAAAGAGCACTCACCAAGATACATTAAGTACAACCTCCAAAAAGCAATTTAAAAAATAATGTCAAGATCTCTCTTTTTGCGGGGTGGAGGTGGGGGAAGGTACTGGGGATTGAACCCGGGGCACTCAACTACTGAGTCACACACCCAGCCCTTTTTATATTTTATTTTGAGAAAGCATCTGGCTGAGTTGCTTAAGGCCTTGCTAAGTTGCTGAGGGTGGCTGTAAACTCTCGATCTTCCTGCCTCAGCCTCCCGAGCCACTGGGATTACAGGTGTGTGCCACAGCGCTCAGCTCAAGATATCATTTACAAAAGCAAAAAAAAAGTAAAGAGTCTCCCCAGGTTGTTTAAATATATATAAAATATAACACACACAAGAAAATGGGGTGGTCAAATAAACACTCACATGTAAACAGTGGTAATCTCTAGGCTCAAGGGAAAAGACACAGGAATGCAGTGGGTCAGTGAGACTACTATGGAAGTGAACTTTAGTGCACATTTAATTTTTGCAAATAAGCACTCTCTCATATGTATTACCTTTTAATTTAAACATTAAAAAATCTTTTCAATAGTAGGTGGCAAAACAGATATTTTCAAGCTGTATTTCAAAAGATTGAAGGAAAAATGCATATCTATCTTTAAAACATAAGATAAAAATTTTTTTAAGTAAAAAACTGGTCAAGGCAAATAACATTTCAGCTGACCCTTCAATAATTTAGTCTATCAGTTACATCAGTTGAACAGTACAGAGAAAATCAGAGACTTAGTGGCTCTTTTAAATTCAACATCAAAGTTGGCTATTAGAATCTTTATTTTAAGGTAAAATGAAATTTCTACCTAAAACTAAATAATTCTTTAGATAAATACAATTTTATGAATTGAGGAACAGGATATGTTGTTGATGTTGGTAATATGATCAAGCAATAGCTATGCCAGAAGCTTACAGAGGCAAGTAAAATCAGGAGTCACTGTAACAAGGGATTTCCCTTATGACTACTAATAAGGGAACTTCACGTTTATAAAAATGTTATAAGTGGTTAAATATGTCTTTAGAATAAAATACAACAACCCTAACAACTCCTGCAAACCCCAAATATCACAAAATAAATAAATGGCTAAACACTTGGGTCCTGGAAAGAGTAGAAACTGTTACAGTTTGGAGACATGTAGCATACAGAAATAACAACAAATTGATTCACTTTGTGATTTAGAGGGAATACTACATTTATGTCTGACTTAATATTTTGATACAAGAACATAAGAATCCCAAAGACAGTAAAGATCTGGCTTTATCATGTATTCATTTTTCTTTCCTTCTACTCTCTTAATTTTGCCATCCCCACTTCCCTACAGGCTCCCACATTTCATTAATCAACACTTCTCAAGTCTCTACCATCCCAAATCAGTCTTTCCTAGACTGTTATTTCTTCCAGCTTGCTTTCGCATACACACAGGCGTGTACACTGCTGCCTCTGCTTCAACATCCACCAATCTGGCTTTCTATCTTACCACTGATGAAACTGCCTAAAAAGTTCACCAAGGACCACCTGACGGGCAAGGCCAATGGTCCTACCTAATCTTCACCTCTCTGCAATAAGCAATGCAAAAATCTGCACTTTAAATAACTTCTATTTGAGGGGGAAAAAAGCTCTTTGTGCCCACATATACCAGCTCCTGGCTATCAGACTCTCTAACAAAAGGCCTCTTGTTTTATGAATATAGACACACATAAGAATAGAAAATCCATATACATATAAAATTTCAAGTAGAAACAAAAGATATCCTTATAAGACAAAGGATATTTTATGTGGGAAAAAATGAAAAGCAGCAGCATAAAATAAGTTTTTCATACAAAGCATATGAAGAACTACATTAATAGAGTTCATTTCTGAACCCCAATCTGAACTCTATCATTCTCTTTTCAACCACACTGAACTCAAAAGTTAGAAAGCTCCAAGCTAAAGGCCCTTCTCACTTCTCTACCGACTTCAGCACAGCTACACATCAACAATTAACATATTAGGAAAATTTATGACATACAAACGAAAACTTAGCTGTATGAGCGCTAACATGTGATCTAGAAGGTAAACCAAGGGTTGTGAAAAATGCATCTCTCCTTCTCCCAATATCAAATATCCTATAAGTTTCTCTAAAATTCTGTCCCTCCTTTATCAACAGTAGTATCATGTACACACACACACACACACACTTTTCATAGTATCATATACATATACATATATACACACACACACATTTTTCAGTATCAGGGATTGAACTCAGGGGCACTTGACCACTGAGCCACATCCCCAGGCCTATTTTTATATTTCATTTAGAGACAGGGTCTCAATGAATTGTTTAGAACTTCGCCATTGCTGAGGCTGGCTTTGAACTCGAGACCCTCCTGTATCAGCCTCCCAAGCTGTTGGGATTATAGGTGTGAGCCACCACGCTCAGCAGCATCTAATATTTTTTTTCTAAAAAAGAAAAAAATGTCTAGCCATTACCCATATGAATCCTAATACCTTACTTTATGTGGTTAATGCCACATTTTTATAGTGTTATATTTTATATCAAAACTATGCTATTTTATGTATTACATTACATAAAATGTATCAAAATTAGTTCACCTGTTTAAAAATTTTCCTCTGAAAATTTAAAATGACACATGTGTCTGGTATTATACTTCTACTGGACAGCACCATGTTAGAGAGTCACAAACTAAAGGCCTAAAACAGAAAAGGTTATCAAATAGCTAGCATCCTTTTGTAGTATGTCACCAATAATGGTCTTCTGCAAAGTTATTCTCATGAATTATTTCAGTAATCTAAAGGAGAAAAGATTAATGGCATAAGTTTGATTTTAATAACAATGAGTCATATGAAATCTATTTTATATATGCAAAAATTTCCTTGAAAGCTCTAAATTCTTACCTCTATCTCCATTCCTTCCTTCCTACTTTTGATTAAAAAAAAAAAAAAAAAAATCCATTGGTCACAGAAAGTAGACTGTTTCAGGAAATTCAGATGTCTAAAATTAAATTCAACTTCTCAGGAATATTAACAATAAGTGATCCCACAATTATGGTTGACCATAGACCCATTGCTCAACTTTAATCAGTGGGAGAAATGGGTGTGGTGGTAAAATTCCAGTTCTCTGAGCTGGATATTCAGCAGAAAAGGCATTTCTCCATAATGTAGCCAAGATGGAATCTCACTGCTTAAGTTTCTACTTCAATTGGGGATTATGGTTAACAGCCTGACAGCAATTTACCTATACTCAACTGTACCAAGGCCCAGGTTATAAAATCCGAAAAAATAATGTCATCCTTCATAATTTGACAGGAGACATAACACTGACAAGACACTTATTTAACATTTAACTGACAAGCCACTTATTTAAAATTCTCTAGTGACAGTGAATTTATATTAGTTCATTAATACATTCTTATTAATTGTGGCAGTGGGAATTCATTTACAACACTGCTAAGTATATAAAAGTGCAAAATTTAGCTGTTGAAGGAAAATACCTGATAAGGAAACTAATAGTCCAAGCTTCATTAGTTCTATAATCAAAGCAACCCAGCAGGAACCTGAAATTTTTCTGGCTACAAAATTTAAAAAAAAAAAAAAAAAAAAAAAAAATTTTTTTTTTTTAGGACAGATTTTTTTTTTTTTAAGAGAGAGAGAGAGAGAGAATGTTTGTTAATTTTGTGTATTGGTAATATACATGAAATCTTCAGAACTTGTATTAGCTCAACTTATTTTAGCTCAACCTTTCCTCAGGGTCAAACGCCTATAAATTGTTTTAAAATTCTAGATGAAAAGACTATTTACTATGATCACTCAAGCTGGAAGTGATCAGTACTAATTCTTCTACATTTGTTTGTAGCACTCCATAATCATGATCACAGGCTACTTTAAGTTATCTCCTTAGTTCCCTTACAGATTCTACATATTTGGGAGAATTTCTTCATCTAGCTATTATAAATCTTTCTCCCTCTATAGTTCTAATGCACTGTCTTGCACTTTTTAGATAACATTTTATCAGATTAACTGGGTAGTACTGGGCAGCACTACAGTGCTGCCTGTTTGTGTTCTCCAACCCAATTCCCCTTACTGGATCTGGCTAAAAGCCAGCTACTTTCAAAAGTGTTATTTCAGCTATCTTAACTCTAATACATAAATTGCAACATCAGCAACATTCATATTGAAAAGCTCAGAGAGAGAGGATCTAGGGCCTTTTTCTTTTTAGGGGTACTGGAGACTGAACTCAGGGGCATTCAACCCCTGAGCCACAGTCCAACCCTATTTTGTATTTTATTTAGAGACAGGGTCCCACTGAGTTGCTTAGTGCTTCACTGTAGCTGAGGCTGGCTTTGGCTTTGAATTCGCAATCCTCCTGCCTCAGTCTCCTGAGCTGCTGGGATTACAGGCGTGAGCTATCACTCCTGGCAGAATCTAGGGCCTTATATCCTAACAGGCATTTCTAATTGCTATTCCTGACTATACTGCTATTCCTCCAACATCCCTGGCATTTCCATGTTACAGAAAATCTGTAGTACCAATGTACAGATTGTGTGATGAATGTATAGATACTGCTATCAGTAAGTATCTATTGATACATTACTGGATGAATGGAAGCAAATAATGATGATAATAATGATTTCAAAGCTCTATTGAGCACCATACACTCTAGAATACTCAATAGATTTTTGTAGTTTATGGCTCTCCTAGTTGTAATTCTAAGGAAAAGAAAATAGAAACCCTTGAATCGCTGTATACTCAGATGAGGCCTAGGGAAATCATTTTATCTACAAATACAATTCATAGATTATCTCTGATCCCTCATTTCAACTGTTCCACAAATTCTTCAGTGATGACTATTATTTGATACTTGGTTAGCTCATCTAATGAGGTAAAAAATGCATTTGTCTTAGGTCAAGTTTCTTTCCATGGCAAACAGTAATTTATCAGAGATTCTGGGGTTCTCTACTCCCAAAGCTCAATAAAATACTAGGGGGAAAAAAAAAAAAAACTAGATGCAACCTATTCACAATTCATTAACGTTGACTTTATGGTCCAACTTAGGAAGTGAACGCATTTCAGTTCTCAAATAAAACAAACAAACAAAAAAATCCACTTCTCGGTGACTATGTACACTTAGAAATTCAAACAAAAAGCCCAAAAGTTTTAGCAGGAGATCCAGGAAGTTTTTTCCTTGATACAAAAGCAGCTTTCCAAACTTCAAACCACTCAACAACTCTTAATCATGGCAGCTGTAGGGAATTAAGTTTACTTCATAACACAGTATGATAAAGTCAGAACTGGGATCTAGGGTTGGAAGCAATAAAACAAGGTTAAAAAAAAAAAAAAAAGCAATTCCTTAATAATGCTTTTAAGACTGTTCTCGTTGCTGACTCAACTATGCACCAAACACCGGAGCTCAAAAATTTCTGCTTTTCTTTGCAATTATATAAGATATTCTAAAAAAAAAAAAAATCACATAGAGTCTTCATTCGTAATTTCCACCCTCTTCCTACACCCTTTAAGTCAGCGAACACGACTTTCTTGGCAGCGGCACCCAACTCCCGGGATGTGGCCTTGGGGCGGGGCTGGCAGATCTAGGCTGGCGGGGGAGTGGGAGGTGGCAGGCAGCAGATTCAATAACCCTTGTTTGTCTCCGACCTTCAGGAGACAAACAAAAGTGACCCTCTAGTCCGAGGTACACTGTAAATGGTGTACATCAGGGACCCGAGGGCAAGGACACGGCAAGCCAGGCACAAAACAGTACCCAACAAGACATGAGTTAGGGAGCCAAAGTTTGATGGGACGCAGCACTCAGAGAGTGCGGGAATGCTAGCTGGGAGTTCCATCCCAGGCTGAGCGCCTCGGGCCCTGGAATCATGGAAAGGCTCAGGCCCGGATTCCGGCACCAGCAGAGACACGAGCTAAGAATGAAAAAAAAGCCCACGCCTCTCCAGGAGCAAGGCTCCAGGACAGAAAGAAAGCGAATAAGGACACGGCGGCGGCAGAAGGCTTGAGCACCACGATACCTACCTTTCTCGCAGCCTCACAGCCCAAGTCACGGTGGCCGCGGTTCACCCACCGGCTCAGCTCACACGCGCAAGCACCGCCCAACCGGAAGCGAGTCTGCGCCCCGCCCTCATCCGTCTTGCCGCGGCTTCCCAACCAATCATCAACAAGCCCCCCGTCGACGCAGAGCTTTCCGGAGTAGCCATTGGCCCCACAATTGCGTAACCCGGATAGGCTGGAAAGCGCCACGTCCCCGCGAGCGCGCCGAGTTGCGTGGAGCTGATTCCCGCCCAAGTCTAGTCCCTGGGCCTGCTGCAGGCCCCAGCCTGGTTCTTGGGCGGCGTGTGGGCGCGGCTGTCCGGACGCCACGTCCCCATTCATAGCGCGTGACTCTGCCTCCACAGGATGTCTAGAATTACCCTGCTAGTAATCTTCATGCCCACAAGACCGTAAATCCGTTTTTTACGGTCACCGCCATTACAATGGTAAACAGTCTCAATCTCTTACCCTTAAACCTTGCTGCCCAGACTTGGCATCTAGTGGAAGCTCTTCTCTCTGGCTATCGTGTATCTTTTAGCTTTGTCTCCCACCACGCCCCTTCACTTACAGTGCTCTGGCCACCATCGTCTAGTCTTTCCTTAACTACTTGTCCTTTCACATTTCTGTGATCTTTGTTCACCAAGCGTCTTCCTTTGCCTGGAATAAATTCATTTTCTTAATTTTCTGTTTGTGAAGGCCAGTAGAAGTCCCAGTTCAGATGTTAGCTCTAGAAACCTTTCCTGACCCCACTAAGCATAATAACACTTATTTTATTTGCCTTCATAGCACTTTGTATCTTCAGTACACTACCAAATTTTATTGTATAACATTGCTTATCTATAACAACTTACTCTGGGAAACAGACTAAGTTCCCCGGCTAACTTCCAGAGTAGAGATCTGCCTATTCTTTGTAATTTCCAGCCCTGAGCTTACTGCCCAGGTCCGAGAAATTGCTCAGTAATATAAATAAACTGAAGAAGTGGACTTCATTGCGTATCCCTGGTTAAAGAGAAACACAGCATATAACTCACTTGTTCATTTTAGTGTCATGAATTGAAACAAATACCGATGAAGGGTACTCTATTTTCAACACTACTGGACTGCAAACCTAAATTCTTAACATAAAGCCTCTATAGTTTAAAATGCAGTTGAGACAAGTAGTAAGTTCATGAAAGACTTAAATGCAAAGCAAGTTAGTTTAAAGTGCCAAGATGAAAGACTGACAACTAATGCTCTGGGTATTCAAATAAAGAAGTGCCAGTGACCCTTGGTGGTAGCCGGAGAGGGATTCATAGGAAGGTGTGACTCAGGCTAGACTAAGAAAATCCCAAATGAACTAGTCAGCAAAAGGAGTAGCAAAAATAAAAGCAAGTGGGGAAGCAGAGCAGAGGGTAAATCCTCAGGCCAGGTAGGGGCTGAGAAAGGTTAAGAAAGGAAGCCATGCAGAAAAACATAGGCAAGTTTGGATAGGGCATGGAAGGTCATGATAGTCTGAGGACACTAAGCTGAAGGCAATGGGAATTGTGAGTCTCCTTTGGAAGTTTTCTAAACTTGTGCCTATGTGGGGGCCCTGTGGAATGAGATTGAGAGTGGTTCTCTCAGACAGGCACATCTTCAAATAGGGATTGACTATAAAACAGGAGGTATTACTTCAAAAACTTTTAAAAAATGCCACCTGAAGTCAGGTACTGTGCTAGGTACTGGTGGATGCATAATGAAGGGGACATCATCCCAGCCCTCAAGAAACTAGAGCCAAGAGGACCACCATTCTGGAAGTGTCATAGTGAAGGCTAAACGTAGTGAGATTCTGCTAGAGATACAGCCCTCAAACCCTGACATTCCCTGTGGATAGGGACTTGTCCTGGCAAGGAAAAGGAAACAGAAATGAACCCTTTATGCCAAATATATATATATATATATATATATATATATATATATATATATATAGATTTGAACCCAGGGGCTCTTAACTGCTAAGCAACATCCCCATCCCTTTTATGTATTTTATTTAAAGACAGGGTCTCCCTGAGTCTCTAAGTGCCATGCTAAGTTGCTGAGGTTGACTTTGAACTCATGATCCTCCTGCCTCAGCCTCCCCAGTAGCTGGGATCAGAGGCATGTGCCACTGTACCCGGCAATGCCAGAGAGATTTTAAATACAATTTGTATTTATCAATTAAAAACAAAAAAAAATTAAAGATAGAAATAACAAGTCCTGGACTTAGTGATCACTTGGATGAAAGAAATGAAGAAGGGATTCAAAAATTAAAAGTTTTAATCATGGGAGATGGGGAGAATGAGCTAGACACATGGAGGTAGAGGGAAATGAGTGAATTCCAAGACTTGGTGAGTCTAGGTTATGAAAGAACATCTAAAAAGAAAGAGCCCATAGGTTGGAAGAGATATAAGGAGGAGAACTGGGCTGATGGAGCCAAAAGAACAGATGAGCATTCTGAGGAGAATGAAGCAGATTAGGCATCATGGGAGCCTCAGAGTTAGAAAGTAGGTAGCAGAGTTAGAAAGTAGGTAGCAGGATTTGAGGACCGGTGAGATGATACACAAAAGAAACGTCGCCATCAATTGCGCTGTCACATTTTGCTATATAGTGCTGCTTATTCACTTGTACTCCTGTAGCCCTGGATTCCTTCTCTGAGCGCAGCATCGAAGGACTGTTGCGAAAGGCATGATGTTGATTGCAGAAAGGTGATGTTCCCCACCGAGCAACCTAGCTCTGTTCATGTGCTGCTACTGAACCCGCACTCCTCAAATGGATGTATTGAGTGTTTCCTGTGTGTCACTGTTCCACTCACTGGCAATACAGCAGTGAACAAAATGGATTAAACTCTGTCATGCTGCTTATATTCTGGTCTGTAGGGGCAGGTGAAACAGATACTGAACGAGATATAAAAACAATTCAAGAGTGGTGGCACATGCCTGTAATCCCAGCGACTGGAAGTGTAAGGCAAGAGAATTGCAAGTTTGAAGCCAGCCTGGGCAATTTAGCAGACCCTGCCTCAAAATTAAAAAACAAAATATAAAGGGCTGTTGATGTGCTCTGTGGTAGAGTACCACTTGTTTAATCCCCAGTACCTTAAAAATATTTAAAAAGAAACATATATAAGAGGTGGTGATGAGTGCTAAGGCAGAAATGAAGCAGAGAAGGAGAGTGAGGAGTGTTGGGACTATTGGGAGTGGTGTTGCCATCTTAGAAAGGACAGCCAGGGAGGGCTCAGGTGTTAACACCTGAGTGAACATCTGATGGTGGTTAAGAACATTCTGAGAAAAGTGAACAGCAAAGGCAAAGGTGTGGAGCTGGGAGCATATTTGCAACATTTGAGGAGCAGCCGGAAGCCAGGCAGCTGGAGGGCAGTAGGAGGAGGGTATGAGGTCAGCCAGGTAGCAGGGATTGGGGGGAGGGGGAGAGAGCCACACTTAGGGCCTTAATCTGAGATGGTGTGGCAGATCCTGGCTATTTACCAAATTCTTTTCTTGTCATCCTGTGAATCTTACTTGACCACATTTCCAGGCTCCTTTACCTGGTGGTCAAATGACTGATCTCTGACCAAGGAAGGTTGACAGAACTGATGTCCACTACCTTCCATTACTGGCCATCAGTGAGCCATGTACAGTTTTCTAAGTCCTATTTCTATAAACCCTTTAAACCACAGGATGGAAGGAATCCAAGTTCCTATTAAAGAGCCACTCATTGACCGGAAGCAATCATTTTGGACTTTTTGTGGGTAAGAAGTAGAAATTAGTTGGTTTAGGCCATTTATGTATGGGGGTTTCTCTCTTATGGAGCCAGCATTCTGCTAATATAGGTGGGAAGACGTTGACAAGGTTTTGAGGAGAGAAGGGACATGATCTAAGATTTTAAAAGAATTACAGTAGACTGGAAAGGGTAAGGTTAGAAGCAGGGAGGGCATTGAGAAAAATTATTTTTTGATAGTGCAGGTGAGTGATGGTGGAAGTTTTGTCCAGGTGGTTCAGTGAAAGTAGTGAGAGGGGTCAAATTCCGAATAGATTTTGAAAGGATTTCCTGATGGGTTAGAAATAGGGTGGAGAGAAAGAGAGAGAAAAGTCAAAGATAAACTGAAAGGTTTTGGGCAACTAAAAAAATGAAGCTGCCATTTACTAGATGGGGGAAAATTGGGGGAGATTAAGTTTTGTATGATAACATTGAAAGATTAGTTTGGACTTGTTGAGATGCCTGGTAGGAGCGACAGGTTGTAGGATTGGTGGGGTTGAAGGAAACTCGAACTCAGAGGAAAAGATAGGAGGTGGCATAGCAGGACAGTGGGAGTAATGGGGTAGGATGCAGGTTTTAATGGAAAAATCTAGTTGAAATCAGAGGAGTCAGTGGCTGAGAAGGGTGGAGGATAGAAGCTCACAGAATGGCGACCAGAGTATGGAAGGGTCATCTATGTGGACATTGAAATCACCAAGAGTTAGGATGTAATTCATCCTTGGGAGGACAGTGATTCAAGAGCTTATTTTTTTAAGTTCTCCAACCATTTCAGTCTAAAGCCCCGTTTGATGAAGACAAAGACCCTTTTGGAATATCTTAAACCAGAGCAAAAACATCCAAGAAACCTTCCAATTGGAAGTTAGTTGGCTGTTCTGCAATCCTCATAGTCTGGACTTCATTGAATGCAAAATATTGCACAAATAAAAAGAGACCAGTCCATGGGCCATCGGACAGGACACTTTTTAGAAGCCCTCTTGATCTATAACTTGTGAACATGTACTTTGAGTCTGTCATCATCTCTCTTTGGAATCATTACTTTAATAAGCACTAGCACAGTATGTCAGCATTTCAAGGGAATGTCATACACAAAAGAAATTAGCCAGTGTTTGCAGGACTGACACAACAGCAAACCTAGGAAGTTTGAAAACCAAAGAGAAATTCACTCTACTTTACACACATCTTACAACCTTCTGTAGGAAGCATTCCTCAACCTCAAACCCAAGTCTGACACACCAGGGCTGTGCTAGCAAGGCCAGGTTAAGAACAGGCTAAGGAAGCAGGGATATAGCTTGAATCAGAAGAGAAAGACCATAAAGCAAAACTGGTGAAAGGAGAATTTGAAGGAGGGTCCCTTGCACTGTTCAGAGTGATCTGAGCAGAGAAGAAAACATACTTTTTTTTTTTTTTTTTGGTTTATGGCTTTACTTTCAAGTTTTAAATTAGATAAATAGAAGCTTAGTGAGGCATCTCTCAGTGATGTACTTCTTCTCTTGTCCTCTTCATCTCTTCTCCCAAGTCTCTTCTGCTTCCTTCTGTTACCTCTTCTCTTTGTATCTCTTATCTTCTTTGACTCCCTCCTGCCACCTCTCTCTTCATCTCCACTTGGCTCTCTTCAGCCTCCCCTCTGCTTCTGCTCCTCACATTGCTTCTCCATCTCTTGGCTCCAGCCATTCAGAGTGCAGGTCTTTCTGTGCCCACTCACGGCCCTTGGGATGGGATTGGGCTGTGCTTGTGTGTGGTACTGAGGATGCAGAGGTAAGCACAGCTGGAATGAGGAAAGGCTCTGCTGTCACCACATGATGATGACGACCCTAGTTTTCTCTTAGTTGCTGCTTTCTCTTCCCCTCTGTCCAGATAGAGTCCCTGGAGCTGAATGCTGCCCAGCAGTGTTGGTTAGGGTTGCACAGACTTGCCCCCGTGTAAGTCAAATAGAGTTTCCTGTGAGTGTAAGAGAGAAAAGTGTTTGATAGCATATAAATCACTCAAAGTTCTTTTATAGGCACATAGAGACAATAGTCTCCCCTTATATTTGTGGGGCAAGGATGCCTGAAATGGCAGATAGTACCAAAACCTGCAAATATTCTGTTTTACCTGTAGGTATATATCTGTGATAAAGCTTAATTTACAGGTTAGGCATGGTAAGAAATTAACAATAATAACTATCATTAAAAAGAACAATTATAATAACATAACAAAAATTATGCAAATGTAGAATGTAGTTCTCTCTCTCTCTCTCAAAATGTGGAATTTTCAATTTAATATTTTTAGATTGAAGTTGTCTAGGTAACTGAAACCTCAGAAAGTAAAGAAGAGGGGGACTACTGTACCCAGGTTAATTTTTTAAACTGTCAATTATTAATGGTCTCTTGTAAGCATTAGTGGTTCATGCCGAGTATTGTAGCATGCACCTGTAATCCCAGCTACTTGGGAGATTGAGACAGAAGGATGGCAAGTTTGAGGCCAGCCTCAGCAATTTAGCGAGACATTGTCTCAAAATAAAAAATGAGCCAGGTCTGTGATTCCAGTGGTTTGGGAGGCTGAGGCAGGAGAATAGTGAGTTCAAAGCCAGCCTCAGCAACCTAGCAAAATCCTGTTTCTAAATAACATATAAAAAATGGCTGGGGAGGATATGGCTCAGTGGTTAAGTGCCCCTGGGTTCAATCACCAGTACCAAAAATAAAAATTAAAGGAAAAAAAAGAAAAGGGCTGGGAATGTAGCTCAATGGTAGAGTGCCCCTGGGTTCAAGCCCTAGTTGGGGAGGGGGTGAATTATTGATTTTTACTTTAGAAAACAAATCACCCCACCTTCTCTATGCTCTGTCTCAGACCACATAGGAGATCCTTCACAGATGCTTATTAAATGAATGAAGGATGGATGGGGGAGTCTTGGAGCAAGAAGAGAAGAAGGTGGGACCTCAGGGAAGTTTGCCTGATCCAGGCCTCCCTCTCTGTACCCCAACCCTGGAAGTACAGAGACTACCAAGTGATGTGTGGTGGAGCAGGGCTCTAATCCTAGCTCCTCAGGAGGTTGAAGCAGGAGGGTTTTGCAAGTTCAAGGCCAGCCTTGGCAACTTAACAAGACCCTGTCTCAAAATTTTAAAAGGGCTGGGGGTGTAGCTCAGCGGTAGAGCACTTGCCTAGCATGTTCAAGGCCCTGGGTAGAATCCCCATTACTGGGAAAAAGAAAAAGAAAACAAAGTGCCAAGAGTTGTAGGAAAAGAGACTGGCTGAAGGGAAGGGTGGTTAATAACTCCCCAAGGAAGCCCTTACACCTCTCCACAGAGCAAGGAGAGAAGCTCCAGCATCATTCTACACATGTCTTTGTCTCCAGTCACTTGTGAGAACTCTGGGAGCTCTGGAGGAGCCACACTGCAGAGGTTTGCTCAGCCCCATTGGAGGCAGGGAAGTATGCAGCAGGAGAGAAGAGGGCAGGGGTCACCTCAACCACGCCCCTCACCCCCACCTCACTACGTGTTCTGAAATCACCCTCAGCACTGGACCCAGTCCTGAGGCTGAGCACCAGCTGCTGTCCCATGAAGACCCCCAGACCAACCCCATTACCATACCTATGGATGGGGCCAGCTGTGGCCAGGTGGAAGCCAGCCGCCAGAGTGCTGAGGAGTGAAAGTGGCTGCGGCCCAGAGGGGTTCTCTCTTTCCCACTCTCCACAAGTGAATGATTCCCTCCAACTGAGGTCATGGGTACAAGGGATGCTGTCTTCCCGGGCAGTATCTTTCTCTAGGTTAAGAAAAGAAAAGCATTTACACTCTGGCTTACAGAGCACTCTTACAGCTTACAGCCAGTAATTGGGGTGGGGTGGACTACTTATGCGCCAGGCACTGTTCCAGACAATTACACACATTCTTCTTCATTTAAGCCTCATGACAACTTGGTGAGGGCCGTGATGCCATAATCCCCATTTTATGGAGAAGAAATGTAAGGTCCAGAGAGGTTGAGTAATTTAACAATGGTCACATTATGAGGTGGCAGAGTCAGAATTCAAAGCCAGGCAGCCTGGCTCCAGAGCTCACATTTTTCCCATCACACCATGTGTGCAAGACAGCCCCATTGAAAGGAGGGACCCACTGTAGCCGGGACAAGTTAACTGAGTACATTTCTCCCAGAAGATTGGCGAGCTGAATTGGCAATGGCCTTGAACTCAGATCAAAGCCAGAAACTTTTCTTGGTCTCCTTAGCCCTGGTTAGTCAACGTGTGACTGAAACCTTGGCGTCATCTGGGAGCATGTTTCAAATGTACTATTCTCCAGCCCCCAGACCTAATGAATTAGAATCTGCACTTTAACAAGACTTACATGGTCTGTTTGTGCTTTAAATTTTGGAAAACACCGCAGTCTCAGGCCATGCCACCCACTGATGGAGAGCCAAAAGGTTAGCTATGCAGGTAAGCTTTGGGCCTCTGTTTTTTTCCAACTCTCTCTTTTTATCCAAAAGTTCCACAGGCTGGAGTATAACTGCCCTTTCAAAGTGTCTTTCCACTACCTGGTCCAGTGAGAAAAGAGGTCCAGAGGACATCCCAGGATGGTTCATTGAAATCAGCCTAGGAGCATCTTCAAACATCTGGCCCCCATGACATCAGATATTCTGTGACCTTGAAATTCTAGCTGTTCTCTTCAGTCCCAGAAATAAATTAGAAACATTCTCTGTTTCTGTTTTTTTTCCACCCTAACTTTATGGGTTATGTTTAAGTATGTACGTACCTGTGTGTGTTTGTGTTTGAATGCATGTGTAAAAATAGAATGTCACAGAACACGAGAAAGCAGTCATAGACTGGGAGGAAATGGGGGTCAGCAGCAGCTCTGCTCGCCATTCAGGACAGGGGCTGTGAGCTGGCTGAATGTGGTCTGTGGCTATGTTATGTTTGCCCACTAGATGTTACCCTACACTGTGCTTTAATTTTTTTAATGGAGGAGGGACATGCCATGTTTTTTTTTTAAATCCATATTTAAGTCTTTCAAAAACTTAAAGTATGTGGCATTAGCAGACCTGTGTTCTAGCACACCCACAATTAATTGAAACCTTCCCCTTTTTTTTTGTTTTGTTGCCACTGTCCCCACCACTCCCTATTGTCTCTTCAAGGTTGAAACTAAGGTTCTGCTGCCAACAGTTTGTTTATGTATATATATATTTGGTTGTTGATGGACCTTTGTTTTTATTTCATTTATATGAGGTGCTGGGAATTGAACCCAGAGCCTCACACATGCTAGGCAATCACTCCACCACTGAGCCATAACCTCAGCCTCTCAACAGTATTTTGATTATAACTGAGTTAGAGAAAAGTCAACTACTTATTCTATTAATGTCCCCAGACTTTTACCCATTTATACCACCAGTGTGTAGGCCTGGTTTGGACAAAAGTTAGAGCTCCCTTAAGAGCAACCTCCTCTAAATTCCGAAATAGAACATGATGTTCTGTCTGTCTCCTGAGCCAATATGGAGAATAATTTGTTAGTAGTATGGTATATGGTATTTATTGAACTCCTATTGTGTCCCCAGCCTGTGCTTGTTGGTGTGCATAATTCAGAGACATGAATACAGTTTAGTATTTGTTGAAGAAATAAGCCTACAAAACAACTAGAGAATAATGTTGAGAGGTTATGACAAGGACAGATAAGTTTAGGCAGGAAGGTGGTGCGAACATATGGTTTAGGACAGGTAGGATTTAAAGTGAGCCTTGAGGGAGGGGAACAGAGAGGGGATGAATGAGCTATGGGAAAGAATAGCTGAGGTTTGGCTGCAGAAGCTGTGGGCTGGAGGTGATGAGGAGGCAGAGGAGGTGAGAGACAGGTAGGATGGGGAAAGTTTATGCAGGGCTGCAAGTGGATTGGGGATAAACTAGAACCGGGAAATAGACAATCAACTGCTGCTTCCAGAATGTGTCAAGACCGCCCACACAGATGGCCTCTTCTTCCGGGAATGCCTTCCCTCATCCGCTCAGCCAGCTCACAGGAATTCATCATCCCCCATGACTCGGCTCAGACCCCGAGCCTCCTGGGCCAGAGTCCTGGGGGGCATGAGAAACCTCCTTCTTTGTGCTCCTTTGGCAGGAGAGGTTTTGTAATTTTGGTATTTACCCATCTGACTCCATTCCAGGATAAAGTCCTTGAAAGGGCCACTGTGTTTTTCTACACAGTGACCCCAAAGCCTATCAACAATGAGTGGCACTTACAAAACACTCAGTACATGCTTTTGAATAAAAAAAAAAAATGACTGAATGAACTAGTGGGAAATTACTGCAGTCTTGGGGGGAAGGACTGAGTGAAGATAAGGTCTATGGGTCCTGGAAATGAAGTAAAGAATATAAGAAATATTTTAAACCGTTGTTAGAACTTGGTTCCAAATTGACTATAGTGGCCAAATTGCCCAGAGGAATTCTACTGCGGCAGGGAAAGATGATGGCAGTCCCCATGGCACCAGGAAGGTCAGGAGAGGGAGCAGCAGAGGATCTGACTCCTATGCCTGCGGTGGGGACAGTTCTCCCAGGCACAGTGCCTTGGCCCTCTCTTACCTGTGCAGATCTTGTGGATCTTCATCTTTTTGCAGCTCCTGGAACTCCAGTCATTTCAAGGTCAAGGAAATGAAGGTTGAAAGTAAAAAGAATAGAACATCAAACTCGTATTTCAAACTTATTTCTAGTTAGATTTTTCCTGATGCAGAAGCTTTAGAGAAATGTAAATATGAAAAAGACCAGCTGTGGCTACGTTAGGTGGGTGCAATGCATATAAAATTTCCAGAAGGAAAAAAAAAAAAAAAGGAAGAGGGAGGTGAGATGGGGGAGGCAAGAAGCAGAGCCCATGCTGCTGATTCTGCTGAGGAGAAGGGACTGGGACTCCATTTGTTGGGTCCTGTGTCTCAGCCATTTATTTTATTTACTGTGCCACTGCATGTTGTTGCCAATGTGCACAAACTGATACTAATTGCAACCAGACTGGAACCTGCCTGAATGAGGAGAAAAATCACCACTCAGGGGTTTCTTCTGGTAAACTGAAGCAACCAAATGTCCATACAAAGTACTGACAAAGTGAAGCAAAACCCACCCTGCCTCCCATTTTCTTGCACCCCTCTGACCCATTTTGTGTGTGCTGGGACAGACTAGGTTGCCATAGCTTCATAGCTGATCTCTCCAAGTCTCTTCTCCCTCCCTTCAAATCAACTGTCAGAGCAGCAGCTAGCATGACCTTTTCAAAATGTAAATTGGATCACGACATTTGACTATTTAAAATGCTGCTAAGGCTCCCACTACATTTAAAGTCTAAATTCCTTCTTGTGGCTTCCTAGGCCCTGCCTGGCTGAGCCCCTGCCCACTTTTGCTTATTCTCTTCCACTGCCACCTGCTCTTTTTCCCCACTGGCCTTCCTACCCTTTCCCTAAACTCACCAAGCTTCTTCCTCTTTCATTCCCTTGCACCTATTTGTTCCTTTTCCACTCTTTCTCTCTTTTTTTGGTACCTGGATTGAAATCCAGGGGTGCTTAGCCACTGGGCCACATCCCCAGCCCCCTGAGTTGCTTAGGGTCTTGCTAAATTGCCAAGACTGGCTTTGAACTCACGATCCTCATGCCTCAGCCTCCTGAGCCACTGGGATTACAGGCCTGTGCCACTGCACACAGCTTCCACCCTTTATCTTGTTACTGAATATTCTTCCTTCAGGATTTAGTCTCCTGTGACCTTCCAGAAACATCAAAAGCTGTCTGGGTCAGAGATTGCCAGTAGGACCCTAGTAACTCAGTCCAGTTCAGTGAAGCAATCTCTTATAGTGATGAAGAGCTCATATAGATCTGAGCCCAAGTCCCTGCTCCAAGTGTACCTGTGAGCATAATGGGCCTCAGTTTTTTTTTTTTTTTTTCTGGGCCTCAGTTTTCAGTTCTCTAAAGTGAAAATAATACCAATAATGCAGCAGAGCACCTAATTTTTTTTCAGGCTTGCTACTAGAAAAAAATGCATTTTCCAGACTCTCTTACAGCTGGGTGTGGCCATGGGACTGAGTTGTGGCCAATGAGATATGAGCAGAAAATATCTTTTAGGTAGTAATTTTAAAAATCAGTGATTTAATAATTGGAGACAATCGAAATTGTCCTTTTGAAATATCTTGTTCTATTAGAATCTGGCACTCTTTAGCTCAGCAATGTGACATCTTATCCAGAAATTTCTTAATTACAGATCTCTGTATGATACAAACAGTAATGATGCCTGGAATATGTTCTTCAGCACTGGAAAACTGTTAAGACTTTTTGTGTTAATACTTTTCTACCTCCAACCCAAGTTAGAGCTCATAATACACATTAATAATTACTGAGAACTTATTTATATCAACCTCCAAACCTTCACAGAAGTATGCTAAGCACTTGATGTAGTATAAGCTCATTTAATCCTGACAATATTTGGCTGCAGTTGGCATTATTTTCATTTTACAGATCTGAAAACTGAGGCCCAGAAAAGTTACACAGTATGCTCACAGGTACTCTTGGAGCAGGGACTTGGGCCCAGATGTATATGAGCTCTTCATCACTATAAGAGATTACTTCCACTGAGCTGAACTGGTTCTTAGTTTGCTACCATTACTCAGAAAAAAAATGGTGATTTGCTTTGCCTCTGAGCTTCTGGTCTACCTGGTTCCTATTGTGCCAAAAATCTCTTTGTGGCAATTCATTTTTCTCCTGGTGATATTTACTCATCTACTTCTGTTCTTTTTTTTTTTTTTTCCTTTTTTTGTAGGGTGGTACCAGGGATTGAACTCAGGGGCACTCGACCACTGATCTACATCTCCAGTCCTATATTTTTTTTTTTTTGGAGGGGGGCAGTATTTTATTTAGTGACAGTCTCACTGAGTTTCTTAGCACCTTGCTTTTGCTGAGGTTGGCTTTGAACTCCTCTTGCCTCAGCCTCCCAAGCCGCTGGGATTACAGGTGTGCACCACCACACCCAGCTTCTGTTCTTTTAAGCCACAATGACATTCACTGAGACCGTGAGCCCCACTTGCTTACTGGTCATTGTACCTTCTGGTCTCAGTGTTTTCAACTCCTATCTTTCTTAATACATAAGATTCAATGTGAAGTCATCTGTATATAGAGGAATATTTCTTCAAGCCAAGAAGATAGGCCTGTACCATAGAACTTTTCAGAACAGACTATACATTTAGAAAACAGTCACAGAAACTCCATGAAGTCCAAGCAGAAGCCAAGTGAGCAGGTAAATGAACCCAATAGATTGACAAGTGTTTCTAACGGTGTTTTGGGTATTTCTGTATAGGACCAGGAATTGGATCAGAAATTAAGTTTAATTTTTCCACCTGCGTTACCTTCCCCATTTTCTTTGTGGAAGAGTTACTTTTCATTTTGTGCAAGACTCCTCCTTGAAGTCAAGCCTACCTTGCTTGCTCTGTGGAGAAGGGGACTAAGGTAAAGGGCACCTGGAAAAGGCTAAGCCAAGGATAAAGACTGGGTGCTGCGTGGCAGTACTTTATTGAGCTTCCATGGGCTCATTAACCCAGGGACTTGGTTTCTGGATCTCACAGCCTAGATCATCTGGGCTACAGGAAGGGACATCATGGTCTGCTTGATTTAAGTCATGTACCTGAACTGGTTCCTCTGGTGCAAGTCGGCAAAGATCTGAGAGAGGGCCTCACTCTCCCCCTTGGCCATCAGCTGCAGGAGGCTCTCACTGGGGTGGGAGGCTTGAGGTTTCTTCTGTACTAACTATATGAAGAATGAACAAAAACCAAAATGGTGGTTAAGGCCTTAGGACCTCTGTATTTTCTCAGTATCATAGTCAAACCTCTCAAGAGTTGAAATCCAATCTCTCCCATTGGGCAGCTTGTATGTATAGAGGCAATCTGATCATGTCTGTTTATAGCCATGTACTGGTAAAATATCCTTTTGTGCCTCTAAAGTTAATATCTTCATTGAATACTTGATAACAATTTAGTAGAGAGCCTATTCCCATTATTATACCTTAACATAGTTTATTGAATAGCCTACCAATGTAAACTTTAATAAAGTTAATACTACTTGGTTTTATAATGAAATGTAGGAGATCATATATTTATTTTAAGAATTTAATGAATTAAAAAAATTTCTCTGGCTGGGGTTGTGGCTCAACAGTAGAGCACTTGCTTAGCATGTACGAGGCCCTGGGTTTGATCCTCAGCACCACATAAAAATAAAATAAACAAAATAAAGGTGTTGTGTCCAACTAAAAAAAATAAATGTTTTAAAAAAATAACTTCTCTAAGAAAATCCTACATGAAGTTGCTTTTTTACAACTGTCTAAAATTAATTTATTTCCTGTTTCTTATGATATTCCAAAGGTACTTCAGCTGCACACGCTGCACATATTAATTGATTCATTCACTACTGAAAATCAACAATGCAAGGCGATAAGGATATAACAGATAAGAATCTGTCTTCATGGGATGTATGGTATAGCTCATAAGCAAAAAAGACCTGGGGCAAAAGGGCCCAGGGGGCTTTATTGGTGAAATCTATCAAATATTTTAAGAAGTAAAAAAAAAATCACTTTAAGATTTTTCACAAAATCTTCCAGAAAATAGAGGAGGAGAGAACACTTCCCAGCTCACTCACTGAGGCTAGAATTAATTTGATCCCAAAGCCAGAGTATCATAAAGATATCACAAGAAAACTATAATTCAGCATCTCCCAGGAACATAGTCTTCTAAATACTTAGCAGAATGCTAGAAAACCAATTTATTTATTGCAGGAATATATGGTTGATTTAACATCAAAAATCAATTAATGTAATAGCATATGTTGACAGAATAAAGGACAAACGTCATGATTGTCTTTCTTCATAGATGCAGAGAAGCATTTTAACAAAGGAACATCCTCAAATTGATAAAGAACATTTACAAAAATCCCAGAAGTAGCATCATACTTAATGGCAAATGACTAACTGCATTTCCCCTAAGACTGGGAACACAGCAAAGACACTTGCTTTGCTTCTTCTATTGAACATCATACTGAATTTCTAGCAGCTGCAATAAGGCAATAAATAAATGAATAAATCCAGATTGCAAATATATCTATCTTGTTTGCAGATAACATCAGTGTATGTATTTTACAGGTTAAAGTAGCAATATCTGGGTAACATAAATGACTTTTGTAGATTTGTATGAATCAGTGAGAATCCAGAAATAAATCCTTAAATTTTATGATCAATTGAGTTTTCTTTTTTTCCTTTCCCATTTTTTATTGGGATCAATTGATTTTTTACAATGATGTCAAGGCAATTCTGGGGAAATTATAATCTTTTCTACAAATGATGGGGACCCAATTGTATATCCACATGCAAAAACAAACAAAAAAATGAAAAGAAGAAAGAATTTAGTCTCTTACCTCATGCCACACACAAATATTAATTCAAAATGGATCACAAACCTAAGTGTACCAGCTGAATTTACAAAACTTCTAGAAGAAAATAGGATAAAAGATTTGTGGGTTTAGGTTGAACAAAGAGCTAGATACAGAACCAAAGCCTGATCCACAAAAAGTTGACCAACTGCACTTGATCAGAATCAAACATTTTCGTTCTTCAAAAGATGTCATTAAGAGCATGAAACCAGGGCTGGGGCTCAGTGGTAGAGCACTTGCCTAGCAGGTGTGAAGCACTGGGTTCGATCCTTAGCACCACATAAATAAATACAATAAAGGTATTGTGTCCATCTACAACTAACAATATTTTTTTTAAAAAAAAAGAGCATGAAACCAGGGCTGGGACTCGTGGTAGATGCATGCAAGTGCAAGACCCTAGGTTCAATCCCTAGCACTGAAGATAAGAAAAAAGAAAAGAAAGGAGGAAGGAAGGAATGAGACAGTGAAAAAGAAGAGAAAATAAAGACAAGTCACAGAGTGAGAGAAAATATTTGCAGATTATATGAAGGATTTGTATCCAGAGTATTTGAAGAATTCTCACACTCAGTAGGAAGATGAAACTCACTTTAAAAATTGGTGAAATATTTGAATAGACATTTCACCAAAGATGATGTATGAAAAACTAAAAAGCCTAGGAAAAGGTGCTCAACATCCTGAGTCACTAGGGAAATCCAAATTATAACCAACACATATCTGCAAGACTGACTATAATCAAAAAGATGAACAATGCTGGTGTTAGAATGTGGAGAAACTTAAAACCTCACAAATTGTTGGAATGTAAAATGGTCACTTTGGTAAAACAGGTTTTCAGTTTCTTTAAAAGTCAAACATAGGGGCTGGGGATATAGCTCAGTTGGTAGAGGGCTTGCCTCACATGCACAAGGTCCTGGGTTCAATCCCCAGTACCACCAAAAAAAAAAAAAAAAAGTTACATATAAACTTTCCATAAAACTCATCAACGTTATTATTTGGAATCTACTGAAGACAAATGAAAACACAACTATACAATAGTCTGTACACAAATGTACAAAGCAGCAGAATTCATTAGAGCCCCAAACTGGAACAATCTAAACGTCCATCAATTCATGAATGGATGAACAAAATGGAATACTACTCAGCAATGAAAACGAATTAACTACTGATAGTCAGTGACTTTGCCCCAGAACTGGTTCCATGCTGTCATATGGATGAACTGTGCTAGATGAAAGTCATACACAAAAACTATATATTATAGGATTCCATGTATATAAAATCCTAAGAAAGATGACTTTACAGAGATTGAAAACAAATCAGTGGTTCCCTAGAGCTAGGTGTTGAAACAGGGAATGACTGCAAACGGGCAACAGGGGCTTTTTTAAGGTGATAGAAATGTTCTAAAACTGGATTGTGTTGACGATTAACAATTGCAAAATTATAAATTTACCAAAACTGTTGAAGAAAACAGGATAAAAAAGTATACAGTATACTTACAATGGGTGAATTTTATGGTTATAAATGGTAACTGAATAAAACTCTCTGTAAAAGGCCTAAAGCTGGAATTGCCTACCCAGAATGCTCACCAACAACTAGTCTAAGCTCTGCCTCTGAAGGCTGGTGACGGTGATCCCTTCCCTTACCTTAGAGTTTCCAGATGGGCTATGGCAATTCTTGGGTACCAGGCAGTGAGTGACAAGAATCCTAGGGTCTTTGGTGGTGATGGACAGGCCCGTCTGCAGAATTTGAATCAGTCGGATCCACAAGTGGAAGACAGTCTTTGGATGGTCAGGGTGGAGTTTTAGGTAGCAGATCTTCTCAGTGACTGTTCTCAACCGCAGGATGCGTTGAAGGCGGTCACAGACCTGGAGCTCCACAAATCTCAATGGGAGAATCCTGAAGGCACAGGGGAAGACACTGACAACCCCATTGCTTCTAATGTGACCCTATCTTCACTAAAATAAGGGGTGTCTCTTTGTGGATGGAAGCTTTTAGGGGTAGGAGAGAGAACACTTAACATAGTTCTGCTCAAACTTTGTGGAGACCAGACACACAGAGGAGCTTACTTAAAACACAGATGCCTGCAGATATCCCCAAAGATTCAGATTCTCTAGGTCTGGACTGTGGCCCTGGAATCTGCATTTTAATCTCCACCCTCCCTGCCATAATTTTCATGCTGATATTCTTTAGATCTAGCTTGAGACACACAGCCTAGGAGTGGGATGGCTGGGATTATGGGTTTTTGCAAATTTTGTCTTGACAGGAAGAAGTCCATGTGTCCAATTTGTCCATTCATTGACCTTAGTGCCTCCATAACTCTTCCCAAAGGTGCTGAAGTTCAAGGTTTTGGCCTTGGGTCTAATGTTAAGTTAGCTGGGCCTGGGTTGTACTTGTTATAGGTACACCAATAACATAGCAGAGAGGCCTGTCATGTAGTAGTATGGAGAAATGAAGGGGTTTCTTGGAACTCTGGGACTATCTAGAGATTCAAGAGGTTTAAAGGTCTGCTTTATTCCAGACAAATGCAATGTGACCATATGTTAAATTCTGAATGGGACCCAGTCCCAGGCATCTTATAGATGGGAAAACTGAGATGCAGTAGGTGACCTGTGCTTCAAACTAATTTTAAGTCTAGCTACTTGCATATTAAAGACTGGAAAGAACTGGCCTCTCCCAACCAGCACTCCATCTGTCAGACCTCATTGCCTCCTCGCTCCTCAGCCACAGACTGGGAGGGCTCCTCTGAAGTCGGGAGTGGGAGTGAGTGCAGCAAGAAGGGAGTGGGCTTGTAGACTGGCCCCTCCTCCTGTCCACACCACCCCTCCCTTATCTCACATGGCCTTCCATTTTACTACCTATCTGGGGTTATTGCTGTCTAAAAAAGGTCACATCACCACTGTGTCTGCTTTCTCCCCACCTTTGGTCACCACCTTGGGTCCCCTTGTCACTGTCTTGTCCCTGATTCCCACCTGCATTGCTTACCTCCTCAGGATAATCTTTGGAGCTTTAGATGGTCTGTTCCATGTCTGGCTCTGCCCCGGATGCCATTTGACTCTGGCCATGAGGAGGACGTTGGGAAGGGGCAGGCAAGGCACGGAGGAGGTCACCCCAAGGGCCACGGTGTTGGAGGCTTTGTTGATGTCTATCCAGTTTTGGCCCCTTTTGACCTGCAATGCAGCCCCCAGTCACAGCCTGAGTATTTGGCAGAAGTAGCAGTATATTTTAGCCCAGGGTTTCTCAACTCGGCACTATTAAGATGATTCTTTGTTTGAGAGAGAGGCTGCACTGTACACTGTAGATTGTTTATCAGAATTTTTGACTTCTGCTCCCAGATGCGACTAGCAACCACTCACTCAAATTGTGAGAACCAAAAATGTCTTCAGATATTGCCAAATGTCCCCGGGTAAAGGAGCACAATATCGTGGCTTGTTGAGAATAAGTGTTCTAACTTATATTGGTTAAAAAAAAGAAAAAGAACAAACGTCACCAAAAAATCCCCACAAACTTATACTAGTGTCTAAATGACCTGCTATTAACAACTGTCCACAAGAACTATAACCTAGGCATCTATCACATTTCCATGAATCCCACCCTGGTCTATTTCCTGCCTTTCCTCTGAGAAACTCATCCTCCTGGCCCTCCTTGGAGGGGCTATATAATCTCCTGCACCTTTATTGGCTGGGAATTTCCCTTCCAGCTTCACAGTCTAGTTTTTCAAGATTCTGTCTGGCCCAAGGGGATACCTTGAGTGCCTGTTCCACCAGGTGCCTTGCTTGCTGCATCTACATTTAACCTTCAGATCAGTCCAACCCTCTTACGTTAGAGCAAGTGGAATAAGGATGTGCAGGTTTTGTGCCCAGTGACACCTCCCCCATGATAAAGCAGAGAATTGGAATCTGAGCCCAGGCTTTCTGGGCCCCCAGCTCCTATTCTTTCTCCCATCATCATTTCTGTCCTGAACCCTCAAAGACCATCTCCTTTTCCTGCCTCCGTGTCCACCTGACTTTGGGCAAAGGCCTGGAGGATGACATAATTTGGGGCTTCACATCTCAAGTCCTCCACTCTTCCCAGGTGTCCATGGCTACAGGAGAAGCCCTGGTCAGGGGGACTGGTTTTGTATTCCAGGCCCCCAGATTCTCCTTGCCTCAGTTCTCACTCCACTCTAGTTCCAGGAATGATTGTCCTGCTCACATCTTGGGAACAGGTTTTCTTTTCTTTTAATCAAGGAGTACTATTCTGAGTCACCCAAGAATACCTGGACAAAGTTGCTTTCAAACACCACTGAGTCAGGAAACAGGTTGAACTCTGGAGAACGAACCATCTGGCAGAGCAGTCCCTCCTCTACACCCAGGCCTACTCCAGGGCTCGGTTCCCCATCCACGGGCAAGAGGCCCCTGAATTCTTCCCAGGCATTCAGGGAAGGGAAGGTTGGAAAAGATCTTGTGACTTGTACTGTCTTCTTTGATTTCCACCAAGTCTTTCTATGTGGAGCTGATGTCAACATTTCTACACATGCTCAGGGGCCGGCTCACATTTGTCCTGGGATCTCGCTCTTCCCTTCTGGCCTTGGGCAGCTGGCCAAGCCCCGGGCTGGCCAATCAGCTCACAATGATGAATGGATGACATCATGAAAAACCAGCAGGCCTGCAGGAAAGGGAAATGCAGAGGAACCTCCCTTTTCTTCTAGACTGTTGCTGGGTCTTACTGATGCCCTACCAACCCCCAGCCCTTTCCTGGACCCCAGGATGTGGCTCTCCCAGAACTTGCTGAGAAGGGAGTGAAAGAGGCAGGAAGCAAGAGCTCCTTCTGCTGCCAAGAGGAAACAACCTTTTTTTCAACCCTCCTTTTTTTTTTTTTTTTTTACTTTGCTTTTTTTTTTTTTTTAGCAGGGGGGATCCAACCCAGGATCTCAAACATTGTAGGCAAGCACTCTACCACAAAGCCACACACCTAACCCAACCATCCCTCACTCTACATTTTACTTTATTATTTATTTATTTATTTATTTTTGGTACCAGGGAATTTTATTTTTTGGTCCTGAGGATTGAACCCAGGAGTGTTTAACCACTGAGCAACATCCCCGGCTCTTTTTAAAAATATTTCCTTTAGAGACAGGGTGTCACTAAGTTGCTTAGGGCCTTGCTAAGTTGCTGAGTCACGTGCCACTGCTCCTGGCGCCAGCTCTCCCTTGTTTTAGTGCAACACATCGCAAATAATGTTAAGGGCTGCTCATCTATTCAAACTCCAGTCTTCCCGAGCTCTGAATGATGGGGTCCTCCACTCCCTGGGTTTGAGGGCCTTTTCTGCTTCTAGGGGTTGCAGGGCAGCTGAAACTTGTTCTGTGCGCTGTTATGGCTGGCTGGTTACTGCTGCAGGGTTCATTCCCTTAGGAGGCCAAACTGCAGGAACAGGAGAAGTAATTAGTTTCTTACCCAGAGGCAGGCTTTGGACCAGCATCTCACAGGAGGAATAGCACCCATGAGCCGCTCTTCTGGATCAACAAGCAGATCCTCCTCTCTGAGAATGACAGTGCCTCCCCACCTCCACTGAGCAAGAGGAAGAGCCCAAATCCTGGAGCAGCTACATCAAGGGCAAAGAACCAAGCAGGTGGATCACTGATCAAAGCCATTTCAAGGAGAAATCTTATTCTACTTTTTTTTTTTTTGGTGGTGGTGTGGGGAGTGTACTGGGGATTGTACTCGGGCACTCAACCACTAAACCACATCCCCAGATCTATTTTGTATTTTATTTATTTATTTGATCCTCCTGCCTCAGCCTCCCCCCAAGGCACTGGGATTACAGGCGTGTCACCACGCCTGGCAGAAATCATCTTTTAATTGGGATAAAATTCCAGCACTTATAATGTATCACCATCAAAGTCAAATGTGATCAGTGTAGAAAACCAGTTTGACAACAAATATAAGTGAAGGACAAAGCCTGATGATTTATTATTTCATTGCAGAATCAGGGAGAGGGCTGAGGTCTCCCCACGCAATGTGGCCACTGTGTCCCCTGGTCATCTAGTCATCTAGGTTACACCCTGCCGGAGCCTGTTACAGCTCCCTGGTCAGTGACACAACTTCCGAGATCACTATCCTCATTTTCTTTTGTTTACTATGTGGGAAAAATATCCTCCATGGTAATATTCTCTAAGGATGGGTTCAGAGACCACATCCTGTGGTTTGCATTTCCCTAGAAACGGAATTATGATACCACAGCAATGGTCATTAATAAGCTGATATGTTGGAAGAAGTGAAGATGTGGGAATGAGGTGTGCTTGAACCTCTGTCTGTCTGTCTGTCTGTCCTCTGGGCCTGGAGTGGGCCTGTGAGAGAACGATTATATCTGTTGGACCATGGGAGGATCCTTATCGCACCGGAAGAACATTTTCTTGACATTTAGGTGCTTTTACATTTATCTCAAAACAAAATTCAGGACATGGCACATATTTCTATGTAGTCTTCTATAGCAGGTAGCCCTGCTTCTTTTATTCATCCACTTTCCCTGTTAAAATACAGATATCTTGGAATTGGGGCTGTAGCTCAGTGGTAGAGCGCTTGCTTTGCACGTGTGAGGCACTGGGTTCGATCCTCAGCACCACATAAAAATAAATTATGATAATGTGTCCATCTACAACTAAAAAAATATTTAAAAAAACAGATATCTTTCTTTACATGATCTCCACGGTTTAGAATGGAAAAGACTGCTTTTTCTTTTGTTCCACCTTTCAGATTCAACACAGAAAGAAACCCTTAGTATACAGTTATCCTGCTGACTTTTCCAGGAAGTAAAAAATCAACTGAGATGGGTCTTCTGCTACAATTTGCTTAATTATCAAGAAATTATTTTGCCAGCTAAAGGCTGATGTTTAAATTGAAACAGGTGCTTAAGATGTAGCATTTGTGAATTCTTTGCCTTTTGCTCCAAACAAGAAGACTAAACAAATGGCAAGTTAAGATGACTTCAGGGTTTTTTAAAAATACCTTCCAGTTTCGGCACATTTGATAAGCACATTTGAGACCTCAGCAATAACTTCCAAATATTTGTTGTAATTTGAAAAGAAAGAGATGTTAAAAAGTTACCTCTCTCTCTGTCTCTCTTTTTAAAGCAGGGATTGAACCCAGGGATGCTTAAGCACTGAGCTTGAACCAGGGGCACTTAACCACTGAGCTACATCCCCAGCCCTTATTTAAAAAAAAAAATTTAGAGACAGGGTCTCACTAAGTTGCTTAGGGTCTTGCTAAGTTGCTGAGACTGGCTTTGAATCATGATCCTCCTGCCTCAGCCTTCCAAACCATTGGGATTACAGGCATGCGCTACCATGCCCAGCTCTAAATTCTTATTCATCTTGTGACATAGATTTCCTGGACAGAAACAAAGTTCCTGTTTTGCAGTTAGCTCTTTGATGTGATAAAGAAGCATAAAGATAAGATATAAAAATTGATTCATATCTGAATAAATTTATGTAAAAATATACATTTTTTTACCCATGTAAATCCACATTTTTGAATAAGAGGAGGGGTTTTCATCCTGGAGAAAGACACTGTTGTTGACTTTTTAAAAAGTCTTGGAACATTTGCTATTTTTAAACTTTTCCATTCTTCTATGGAGGAAACCAGATGAGCAGCAAACCCTGTAAATGCAAGCTTACATTTAGTGGAAAGTGTAGTAAAAGCAAACATAATTAAGTCCAGTGATAGAACTCTGTTCACCTCCCTGGGACGAGAGGCCACTTAGTACAGTTTTACTCATCCTGTTTTGTGGGGTCATATAGCACATAAGATTTAGTTTTCCATGTGGCCAAGGTTGGAAGAAAAGTAGCATGAGTGCTTTTTTTAGTTAAGATGTGATGGACCCTAAAGTATAATCTGCCTTCAACTTTGGACATACAGGAGTGGAAGGCAAAAAATGAGAAGTTTCCATATAACTCCTTTCTTCTAAGAATAAAATGTCTAAACATCTGACTTTTTTAAAAATTTTACATTCCATAGTTCCATGTTTTTTTATAAAATATAATTAACTCTCTTTCTTCAACCCAGATGAATATTTGGATTTGTTTTTCTAGGGGCCAGGTATAATGTTAAGCTGAAAAGGATGGGACTAGGGTAAATTCCATGCATGTTTACAATGAAATGTTTGTAGCAGCTTTATCACCCCAACTGGAAACAATCCAGATGTCTTTCGGCAGGTTGATTGGATAAACAAACCCGTGCAGCCACACAATGGAAACCCTTTCGGCAACAAAAAGAATAAACTATTGATGCAACAACAAGGCTAAGCACAAGGAGACAGAAAGCCTGTGTACTGTCTGATATGTTTTTAACTTCTTTCTCTAGGGAAAGGTGGCTTTCATTATAAATATTTTCTCATTTGTGCAATGGAATTTCAGAATTGCTAATCCACACCCATGAGAAACAAATTTGCTTGAGTGCAGTGTTTCTAGACAATTTTTCTGGTCCTTAATTAGTAACTGTTTTTTCAAGTTACTTGGTTGGACGCCTTCTCCTGCACTCCCTTCAGAGTAGCTATGCCCTTCATTTGTCATAGTGTCCACTCTACCCTGGGTCCCCCTGACATTCTGATTGATTTTTTTCCCCTTTGCAGATGGTGAAACTCCCTTTAGTAATATATGTGCTATAGATTTTCACAAATGCATAGGTACGTATCCACCAATATGGGGCCACCCCAAGAATTGCCTTGTGGCCTGTAGTCAAACCTTTCCCCAGCCTCTACTTAGTGCCACTGGGTGTTTTTATTTGGGAGGGACAGGGAGTGTCAGGGATTAAACCCAGGGTGCTTAACCACTGAACCACATCCCTAGTCCTTTTTTTTTTTTTTGAGACAGGGTCTCACTGAATTGCTTAAGGCCTTGCTAAATTGTTGAGTCTGGCTTTGAACTCTTGATCTTCCTGCTTCAGGCTCCAGAGACACTGGGATTATAGGCGTGCAACACTATGCAGGGCCCCACTGAATTCTTCACCATCCTGCTAAGCACTGCTGTGACAGCATCCCACAAATTTTTGATAGACTGTACTTTTATTTTCATTCAGTGCAGTTCAAGATATTTAAAATTTTCCCTTGAGTACTCTCTGACCCATGGGTTATTTAAGAAATGTGTTGTTTGATTTCCAAATACTTGGGAATTTCCTAGAAATCTTTCTGTTATTGATATCTAGTTTATTCTGTTGTGGTCTGATTCCATGCTTATATGGTTTCTTTTAAAGTCATTGAGGTTTGTTTTAGGTCCAAAATGTAGTCTATCTTAATTAACAGACGTTCCATGTGCACTTGAAAAGAGAGTGCCTTATACTGTTATTGGATAGAGTGTCCTGTAAATATCAGTTTGACCTAGTTGGTGGACAGGATTTTGTGTGTGTGTGTGTGTGTGTGTGTGTGTGTGTGCCAGGAATTGAACCCAGGGGTGCTTAACCACTGAGCCACATCCTCAGCCCTTTTAAAAATTTTTATTTAGAGACTGGGTCTTGCTGAGTTGCTTAGGGCCTCACTATGTTACTGAAGCTTCTTTTGAACTCTTGATCCTCCTGCCTCAGTCT